TGCCCCAGGGCAAAGGCGGAAAGGAAAAAAAAAACGAACCCAAGGGCACGAGCGTGGTGGGTGCCCAGAGCCAGCTGGCCGCACAGCTGACTGACTTGTGGGCAAAGGGCGGACAGCTGGCCGCGTTATTCCCATGGGCGGATCCATGGAACCCTTACGCCATAGTCGACGCGGTGGGGGCGGGCGCTGAAATTTCTGGCGGTTTGGCAGAGGGGCGCCCCCACCGCGCGTGGCAGGCCGCTGACGCTGCGACGGCGTGAGCGAGACGTTTTCCGCCTGGAGCGCCACAGAGCCACATGCCGCGCTGGTTCCTGATCTGCCTTGGCCCCGGTAAACACGCGCCCGACTTTATTATCGCTTCCGCCCGCCGAGCCACGACGATAGAGAGAGAGACGCGAAAGAGAGAGAGAGCGAGCGAACACCACCATGTCCTCCACGCCGACGTCGACGCCGGTAAAGCGCGCCTGCGACAGGTAACCCACCCATCATCCATCCCATCCATCCATCTCCTAACACACACAGCTGCCACCGCCGCAAGGTCAAGTGCATCGGCGAGGGCACCAAGCCCTGCAAGAACTGCATCTCGGCCGGCCTCAACTGCACCTACAATGCCATTCCCCAGAAAAAGGGCCCCAAGGGCTCGCGCGCAAAGGTCCTGTCGGAGCTCCGCGAGACGCAGCGCAACGCCCAGATGCAGGCCGGCGCCTTTGGCGACCACTTTGCCAACATCGCCCTGCAGCGCCAGCCCGGCCTGATGTCGCTCGACCTCATCCACACCTGCGTCGACTTCTTCTTCGCCAACATGTACCCCAGCCAGCCCATCCTGCACCACCAGCGCATCCAGGAGGCCATCATGACCATGGACCAGAGCGTCGAGGCCTACTGCCTCATCTCGGCCCTGTGCGCCTACATGCTCATCCAGCCCAACCTGCAGCTCTCGCCCCACGTCGCCCCGCGCGGTCCCGACGGCAACCCCGTCCCCAACCTCAACTTTGGCATCATCCTTCTCGAGGAATCCGTCCGCGTGCGCAAGGGCTACAACCACATGGAGAACCCCACCCGCTATACCGTCATCACCTCCTTCTTCTACTTCAGCTCCTACCTGTGCCTCGACAAGCACAACACGGGCTGGTACTACCTACGTGAGGCCACCACCCACGCCCAGCTGCTGGGCATGCACGACGAGGAGACGTACAAGACGGGCGACTTCATCGAGACGTCGCGCCGCAGGAGGCTGTTTTGGCTGCTCTTCATCCAGGAGAGGTAATGGATCTTGTTTCATTCTTGGTCCTTCTTTTGCTAACCCGAAGCCACCAGGGCCTACGCCCTCCACAAGCACCGCCCCATCACCCTCGACGCAACCATTGAGCTACCGACCATGGACGAGGACCCCACCGAGCGCGTCCAGCTGTCGGGCTTCCTGCACCTCATCAACCTCTACAAGCCCTTCGATCACACCTTCATTGGCCTTTGGAACAAGGTCCGCACCGGCTGCCTGCCGGCCTGGCTGGCTCAGATGCAGCAGCAGCTGTCCGAGGCGCTGCCCACATATCTCGAGAGCACAGAGGTGCAGGCCGTCGACCTGCGCACGTCGCAGCAGTGGCTACGCACGATGGTTTGGCAACTTTCCATCAGCCACGGCTTCATTTCGTCCATGGCCACCGATAACACAATGAGCTTCAAGTACCCCATCGAGATCGCGCGCGACCTCATCACAATGTCGAGTCAGTTCTCGCAGCAGGCGATGGAAGTGCATGGCGTGGGTCTGGTAAGCTGAAACGCGCTCCTTCGCGACTTGAAACGCGGCTGACGGCGCACACCCTTGCAGATCGAAAAGCTCTTCGACGTGGCCTGCACGCTGACCGACGTCATGGCCTGCGTGCCGCTCGACCAAAACTCGTTTGAGATTGGCCCGCGCGACTACCTCGGCCGCTTCCTGGGCATCATCTCAACACTACGCGGCGGGCACTCGCGCTACTTGGCGCTGCTACTGCAGAAGATCAACGAAGTCCTTCCCAACATGGCCGTGCCAATGCCGCGAGGCGTGAGCGCCAACTCGACGCCCACAAACCCACGCCTGGACGAGTTGTACGAGAGCTCAGCATCCGTGTCGGCGCAGGGCTCGCACGTCGGTTCCCACGAAGCTACACCATTCGACTCGCCGCCGCCCATGAGCATTCCTGTGCCCGTGCGGCAAAGCAGCCACGGTAACATGCCCTATCCGGAAATGCAAGTCACGCCGCCGCTGGTGCCGCAACAACCAGGCTTCCCGACCTTTTCGACAGCAATGGGCTTCCCTCAGACGACGACAGCGGGGCCGCCGCCCCCGGCCGTGTACCAGGCGCAGCATAGCTCGCATGGGGGGTTCCCTGGCTGAAAGCCGGGAGAGGGGGCGGCGCGGTCGCCTCGCTCGCACGCGTCGTGTGTGCTGCCGCCGCACGCGCGATTCAGGCATTGAGAGGGGAGAGTGAGAAGGAGCATTGGAGGAGCAGCAGAGCGAGCTTCAGGCGCGCGCGTGTGCGCGATATTGAAGCGCCGGGGCCGCGCGGCGGCACTGTCGTTTATGGTCGCCCTGCCCTGTCCGCCTCACCGCAAATCACTGGGGAAAGGGCCGTCGCAGCGCCGAAATCGCGCCGGGCGGGGAATGTTTTGGCGCACGGGAATCGAGATAGTGAGAGGAGAGAGCGAGGAAGGAGATTGTTAGCATACGGGCCTTGCAGGAAGGAGGAGAAGAAATGATGGACGATTTGGGGATGGAGGGGCGGGAATGGCTTGGGGTGAGAGGAGGAGGGGCAAGGTGGGGTTCTGATGTTCGGGTTCGGATAGGGGCTCGCGTTCGGATGCGGCTGCAAGGTGTGGTGAGCTGTACCTGCGGGTGGATGCAGAAGGGAAGAGGAAGGAGGGGAGGAGGAAAGGCCGACGCGACGAAGACGGACGACGACGGCGACGCCAACGACAGGAAAGAAGACGAAGAAGATGAAAAACGGGGGAAGCCTACAGCACAGCACGATGGAAGTAGAGCGTGTGTGGAGAAGGAGATTTTGTTTGGCAGTCATGCCATGTGGGCACGGTCGTCGTCGCGGACTCAAGTCGATGTTTCAGTATTGTGTTGGGCTCGCAACAACACAATCGTCTCTTTTCTTCCCTCGATCCATTATTTCTTCATTTCCGGTTTTTTCTTAATTTTCCCTTTATCTTTCTTCCGTCACTCGCATCTATTGTCTTTGTCCTTGATCTGCTGCATACATTGCGGGGGGGGTTTTCTCTGGATTTTTGGTCATTTCTCGGTTTGAACTCTTGGTCAAACTTTTACTACTACTGCTACTGCTTCTGCGAGCGCGGCATTGGTTGGGCGTTGCAGCGCTTTTTCTATTTATTTTTTATTTTTTTTTTTTTTTATTTTTTTTTCTATCGTTTTTCGGTTTTCGTTGTTTTGAGGCTGGGTTTGGCGGGCTTGGATGGCGGCGCTTGGGAGGAACGGTGAGATGGATGGATGGGAGGGGCGGAGGGAAGAGAAGGCTGGCTGGATGGATGGATGGATGGATGGATGGATGGATGGACGGACGGCCGGTTGGTTGGGTGGGTGGGCAGGAGATTGATTGAAAGTCTCCGCGGCTATAACGGGTTTTCTTTTTTCTTTTTCCGTGCATTGTTGATATTGGTATCATTGGCTTCTACTCTTCCTCTCTTGGGCTATGTTATGCGCAACAGCAAAAACAACAACAACAACTACTACTACATCCCCCCTCTCTTTCTCTCTCTATCTCTCTATTTCTCTTTTTCTTGTCTCTGGGCAGTATATACACGTACCTTATCGCGAGCAGCAACGAGAGATGGAAAAAAAGGAAAAGGCGGAACGAGGTGAATAGGAAGGGTTAGGGGGAGCAGCAAAATAGAGGCTAGGTCGGTTTTATGGGTGGGTGTACTGTACATATACATATATATATAAACAAACATACATATATACACGAGTGATCAATACCACCAACGAAAGAACGAAAGACAGACAGAAAGACAGAAAGAAAGACAAAAAGAAAGAAAGAAAGAAAAGCAAACACCATACATTCATTCATTATACGGCTAGGTTACCAACCACTGCAGTTCAGTAGCTTATGACAGGGTCGGCGACGACGTGCCGTGATTGGCCAGTCCCGTCCTTCACACGGAAGCAAGTGATTGGACGATGGACGATGGACGATGTAGGTGGGAAAACGAGAGGTGGTACGCTCGCCGTCACGATTACACACACGCACACAAAGGCACAGGACGAGTCACGCGCAGCGAGCGCGAACTGCTGCATGTGACTCGTGTGACGATGGCGATGACGGTGTGGGATGGCGCGCTCGGTTCGGCTGGCATTTTGGGTTTTGGTTAGGTTTGGGATGGTGCGAGGATCATGGTTCTCTTTTTGGGTGTGTGGATGGTGGTGTGCTGGGGGGTTTACCTTAGGTTCTTGATGGTGGGTGTTTGGGACGGATTTGGTGGATGGGTTGTGGATGGATGGATGGGTTGTGGATGGATGGAGGGATTGGTCGTGTTGGTACTGATACCGTATTGCAGATATTTGATAGGTTAGGTAGGTACTTGCTCTATCTCTCTCTCTATCTCGACACACATCTACTCCTATTCGTGGATGGAGTAGAGAGCAAACCAAACCAAAACCAAGCCACGCTCCTGTCCTCCTCATCCTCTTCCAAATCAGGCAAAGCCAGCACACGACTCCACAACCGCGCTTCCACGGTACGGGTACGGTACAAAATACCCACGGAGCGCCCTCCCGCGCCGGAGGTCCCTCCTGCGCGTGAGACATGAGAGCACGGTACTCGATGAGTAATAACAACCCACTTGTCGGAGCAGGATTCCTCCTCCGCGCGCTGCTGGCGGACTTGCCTCCTTGGCCTCTTCGTCGTCAAGCTTGCTTGCACGCATCGGCTTCGCTTGCTTTGCTCGCTTCGCCTCGCGTCGCGGGCCGCCCGGATGATTCGTGCCTGCGCAGCGGGCGTGTGCGGGCCCCGCTGCTCGGCGCAGGACTGTCGTCACGGCCGGGGCGCGTGCGTCGGATGCGCGCGACGTCGTTTGGGGAGCAAGGCACGCATGGAAGGCAAGAGAGTGGCCAACGTCGACACGGGATACAATATGAGACAGCTCGTACCGACGGGCTACGAGGAGGCACGGTCGCCTGCCTACGGCGGAGGGAGGAGGCTGCTCCGTTACCTACCCTACCTACCTAGGTAGGTACGACGACCTCTACAACATACGACGTCGACAACACAACACGGTGCCCGTGCTTCCTCCGCTCCCAGCTCCCTCGTCACCCGGTCGAGGACAGGCCCATCCCGAGACCTGGTCACCGGCGTCAGGGTCGCCACCGTCCTCCACCCTCCTCCTCCAGCAGCACCAACCACCACCCACCCATGCAAGCAACACACCGGTCAGCAGCTGGTGGTGTTGGTGTTGCTGCTTGCTAGCTAGGTAGGTAGCTACTCTACTGCTGCGCCGCACCGCCTCGTCACATCATGCATGCATGTCTCACTACTCTCGGGCCCTCTACCACTAGTCCTAGCTACTAGGTAGGTTAGAGGCTTCTTCTCCTCGTCTAGGTTCTTTCCACATTTTGCACATCATCAACATCAGCAAACCTCCTATTTTCCCGTCGTCGTCGTCCTCCTCCTTCTCCCGCGGCACCTACCGCTTGTGGAAGGCGAGTGGAGGTGTGTGGTTGCAGCGAGCCGCGGGCACGAGCGCGCGCGCTGTGCTGTGCGCTGTGCGCAGCACCAGCAACCACCACGCCCGCGCACGGTTATCGCACCCTAGGGCGCAGTCGGGCTGCTGTGGGCGGGTGTTCGGGCTGGGCTGGGAATCGGGATAGATGATTATTGAGCATTGAGATGTGCCTGACACACGGGTGTTGCCGTTGCGGTGCCCGCCCAGACGACCCTTTTCTTCCCTGCAACTTTTTCTCCTCTCTCCTGCGCACTGTTTTGTTGCGCTGTGGGTTGGGGTTGGGTTTGGAGGGGCGTCTGTGCGGCGGCGCGGAGGTGATGATGCGCGATGATGTTGTTGATGATGCTGATGATGATGAGGAAGGGGAAAAAGAGAGGGGTTGATGGTGATGCGTGCGGGTGATGCGCTGGCTTGCTTGGCTGTTTTGGCTGCTGTGGCCGGCGCAGGGTTCTCTGGTCACTACTACTCATGCTTTGTCTGCTCTAGAGTAGCGTGAGTAGTTGCAGTTCCCTGTGCCGGGGCAAGGATGAGGATAGTAGTAGTAGTAACCCAGTCCACCACCACCACTGCCACCTGTTACATACTCGTACACGCACACAACACCCCCTCCCACTACGACCCGTACTACGGCTCTAGCAGCGCTCGCAGCCGCTCCTGGCGTCTGCGGCGTGGAGACGCCAAACGCGACGGGCGGGCGCCCGCCGATGACAATAATGACGATGGTGCCGCGCGCAATGAGGTAGTGGGCGCGCGCACCTGCATGAACGGGCGGGCGATGAACGCTCAAAGGAAGGAAGGAAGGACGGAAGGCAAAAAACGTGGTGTGTGCGTGTGTGGGAGGAATAACGATACCTAACGATACGCACACTAGCACACCTAGTCTCAAGCACCCAAACACACGCGCTCTCCCCTCTCTCGCAATCTTCCTTCTTCGCTTCTGTCATCTGTCTAGAGTAGAGTAGAGTACCGCACCGTACATCATCGTCATCAGCCAGCAGCATCATCATCGGCGTCGCTAATCGTCATCGGCATCGTCGCCGTCGCGGCGCGGAAGAGGCCCCCCTCCAACCTCCACAGGGACTGCCTACTACGGTACTTACTCTAAACGCGAGCGATCCGCGCTCCTCCGCCGCCAGCCGCCAGCCGCCTACCGCCTACCGCCTACCGCCGGCCAGTAGGTAGTGCCAAGTGCCGCGCTCTGCGCGCGCAGGGACGTCGTCGTGGGTCTTGTTCAGAGTGAACTAGGTAGAGCGGAGCCCGTGGTCTTGGAGCGCGAGAGCGCATGCTGCCCGACGACTATGTACGAGGAGAGAGGGAAAAATGGTCGTTGCCCGGTGGTAGGGACAGGTTCGTTGACCATTACTCGCTTTTCTCGCACCAACTCGCAGCAAGCTCGGCCAGGGTGGAGGGGGGGGAGCGGAGAGGCTTGTGAGTCGTTCTGCCTGCCTGTCTGCTGCTGCTGCTGCTGCTGCTCGTTGCTCGGACAGTGGACTCCTCCCTATTAGATATCACTATTGATGATTACTTTTTTGCTTTTGCGTCTCCAGTATTGTAGGAGTAGCGCATTAACCAGGCGGGGGTCACGAAAGGGAGATTTCTCATCATCATCATCATCATCATCATCATCAGCAGCATCAATGGCAGAATGGCGCGCGCGCGGCGCTTGGATGCTCTTCTGCGCTTGACGCTGCTACTGTGGATGGCTGGAAATGCGAGGGAGATAATCGTGGTAGTATTGTAGGAGTAGATGGATGCTACGTCGCAGGGTCCAGCGCCGCTCTGGCTGTCTCACCTACTGATACTCTACCTACGTAGTATTACTGTACCCCGTTGCTGCGACGCACGAGAACGGCATTGCATGCAGACAGCCATGGCGACGTCCCCTTTCCACAAGGCGGGCACGGCGGGTCCCAGCTTCCAGAATCGCGGTTTTGTTTCTGCCACCGCGACCACCACCACCACCACCACCCACTACCGCTAGGTTCTAGCCGCGCATCACCCTCCCCCGATGGATGATGGAATGATCCATGGGCCCGCCAGCTGTCCCGCGACTGCGAGCGCGCTGCCCTGCCCTGCCTCGCCCTACCACCGCTAGCGCGTCCCACGTGTCGCGTAGCGCCGCCATGGCCTTCCCGCCTTTCGCGCCTCCGCTAGCCCGGCACTGCCCTCAGATGCCGGCGGGCCTGTGTTTTTGCTTGCGCGGGCGCTCGTTGCTTGCTGGCTGCTACTCCCTCTAACTGCTACTACTACTACTACTACTACTACTACTACTACTACTACTACTACTACTACTACTACTACTACTAGGCTAGGTGACTCTACAAATACTTTAGACGGCTTCTTCGGCGCGCGCGTGTACTCTACTACGTAAGTTAGGCTCGATTGTTGATACAAGACTCGATTCTTGGGCTGAACGCCTAAGCGGGCAAGGGCGCCTGTACGTAGTAGTGGGGGGACGATGGGCCGCGCTGCACTGCAATGGTTCCATGCATGACGAGCGCGGGCGTAGCGCGCGAAGCGTGGATGATGGTATGGTGGTGCTGCTGCAGGCTGCAGCATCTACTCTACGGATGCCTGCCTGTGCCAGCGTCATGGCAATCAAAAGCGTGTGATTGTTGGCGCGCGCGGAGTGGGGGGAGCGATCATCATCCTACAGGATTGTGGAGAGAGGGTGATGAGAGTCTGTCGGAGAGAAAAGAGAAAAGAAAAAAAAAAAGTGACAGGCGACGATGACTGGCAGACAGAGGATCAGAGACAAGACGCAGGGTCGGCTGCAGCTGCTGCGTCTGCCCTGCGCGAACAGCATGGCGGTGACGTTGCGCGCGGGATTCGCGACTCAGGGTCAGCCCAGGAGGGCGATCCCACCACCACCACCACCACCACCACCATCGACGCTTCCTCCATCGTCGTTGTTCGCGCCGTTCGCCTGCGCTCAACGGACATGGCGGCGCGCAGGGCGATCCGGCGTTTCGTTTTGCTGGCTCTTAGCCCTGCTGCTGCTACTGCTGCTGCTTGCTTGCTGGCGATTCAAAATCAAATCGGGCGCCAACCCGCCCGGGCATGTCATTTAGAGTTCTCGCGCCCTGGTCGGGTCGCGGGCATGTGGGACTGTGAAGCGTTCCTTCGGCCAGGGATCACAAACAGGGTCCTCGCTCAATTCAATCTTCTCGAGTCAATTGCTTCATGGGCACCGGCGCCCAAACCGCGGCCCATGACGGAGAGAAGAGGGGAAAGAGGCGGATCATGCCATGCGTTTGTCTCTTCTCCGCGGACCCGCTGCCATGTGCGCCCGACCGACGACAATGATGATGCGCGCGCCTCCAATTATTCCCCATCCCCTCGACACAGATGAGGCATGAGAGACGGGGGAGAGGGAAAAAAAAAAAAGGCTCGGCACACATCTCCTCATCAGGCAGCGCCATGACCGAGCAACGAGAGCTCCGTCATCACTTCCTTCGTGAGTCCCACTTGGGAGCAGCATCTAACGGCTAGCGCCGCGGGTGGGTAGCGCGGATCACGCAAACAACACGACGAGCGGGGCACGTGCGAGGAACCCACTCTCAGCCGCAGGCTACCACGACACCAGGGACGGCAAAGGACCAGGGACCCTTTCGGGCGCGCGTGCAGAAGATTCTGAGCCGGGGCGCGCAACCGCTCACACCTCGCACGCATGGGGCGGGCGGGCGAACAAACCAACGAAGCGGTAAGCGGCAGCGAGGCTGAGCCAGCAACGCAAACCAGCCGGGGCGTCTGAGGCTGAGAGCAAGCGCGTCCCCCCTCTCGAGCTGGGGCGTTTTTTGTGGCCGACGGCGTGGGCTCCTTCGAAACAAGGCTGCGCGCTTCTAGCGGCCTTCTAGTGCCTTTCGAAGGGGGGGATGGACAATGACTGGTGGCTTTTTCCTCCATCGAGCTCTCCCTCTCTCTCTCTCTCCTGCGGAAAAGCCTGGGTGACTGCGCGCGCCGGAGCGCCCGCTAGCGACTAGAACACACTGATGGTGCGGATCTAGATGGGCGAAAATGACACGCGGAAGCCACTGGGGCGGGTAAGTAGAGAGATCGCGCGGAGATGCGTGATGGTTCTCGCTTTCAGAAACGTCGCCGTGAGACTACTGCTGCTGCTACCACTACTGCCAGGCTGCTTTTGCCTTATTGTTGTCATTGTGACAAGGGCATGGGAAACTTTATTACCAACGCCAATCCGAGTGCTTTGGTGGACGTGCTGGGCGCGGCAATGGCGAAAGGGGTCTCGAGTGTCTTGAGGGCTTCTAGAAGGGCAGATGAGGAGAGGTGGATCGCTGGAATCGCAGGAATCGCAGGAGGTGCCTTGCTAGACTGTTGCCACATCGGTGGTGGCCGGCAAAGGAAATGGCCATGGTGTGATGATGGGAGCAGAGCAGGACAGGCAGCCTGGCGGTGTCAGCAGCGGTCTGGCCATTCTCTCTCTCTCTTCCTCTCTCCTTTATCGCAGGCGGAGGAGTACTCTAGAGCATTATCCCCTGGCCGAGCTCTACGGCAATGTGCCCAGCGGAGATGGGCTCCGCGCGAGGCTTCAGGGACCATCGAGGCGCCAGCCATTGCCTCGTCCCACTACTGCCGTCACTACTAATTATGACCTCCCACCGTGGCTCCCGTAGCGCCAAACAGCGCCATGAAACGGTCGCGCTACACGCAGCCCTTTTGGAAGAGGGGCTCGGAATCGGATGCTGCATCTTGTCCCGGCCCTTTGCGGCCTTCTCGCCGTCTGGCCTGGCGCGCCCGGATATTACAGTCCGCTGCGGTATGGGCGAGGTTATGTGTAGGTGGCGCTCGGGTTGTTCAGCCGCGCATCCGAGGCGCCGGCGCCTTACCCGGCGTTGTTTGTCGTCGTCATTTGCGTTTGGTGGTGGTGGTGCTGCTGCTTCGTTTTCGTCGTTTACGTCGTTCTCGGCGGCGGCGGCGGGAGATGGTGCTCGTTCTTGCTTCTAGCACGCAGCAGCGCGTCGGGGAACTGGGCGGGTTGGGCTGTGCCGCCGTGCCAGGTACTGTACTCACGGCTGACAGGAGCGCCGTCCGGGGCGAAAAAGCAGCGTGCGTCGTGGGCGCTTCGCCTTTTTTCTGGCGTGGGGGTGACGGGAGTGATGCCAGCGGATCAGGGTCATCCGCGATCGGGTGGCATCGTTTTTGTGTTGCTCGAGGGGTGCGAAAGTGTTTGAATAGATGTACCTAGGTTGGTGTTCCTGTGTGCCATGTCCGGGCAAGGCTCTGGGCAACACACACACATTGTCTGTATCGCGGGCCGCCTGTAAAGGGATGCGCCTCCACGCCCTGTGGTGGCTGACGGTCACGTACGGCGAAGCGCCCGCATCTGCTGAGTCTTGTGCCACGAGGCCGGACGCGTGACGCGGCAGCCTCGCTTGCCCGCCCTTTGTTATAGACAAACCCTCCTGGATCAGGAGGGCCAAATGGGCGGCGTGACGGGTCTGGTGCCGGTGAGGGCAAAGGGCTAGTGAGTCAGCCTGACTACCAGAACGTGGACCTGCTGTCCTGCGAGTGCTGGACCGTCGTGTCTGGAGCCTCGTGGTTGCGGCTGGTGACGACTTGGTTCGAGATGGTTGGGGACTTTAAGAGCGACGTCGTGGCGCGCCTTGTCGTCGTCGTCGTCGTCGTCGTCGTCGTCGTCTTTGTACATGCACTGCTGCGTCACAGATATCAGGTATGTTGTCTTTTTCTTTGGCAAAAAAAAAAAAAAAAAAAAAAAAAAAATCGGGCCAACAAGGTGTTTGGCTGGGATCGGGGGCTTTCCTGACGTGGGAGCAAAATAAACCTCTCTACAATCTCGAGGCGCAGGCTGACGTTGGGCAACATATTTTCTTTGCCAGACCCTCTGCGGCCCAAGAATATATAATTGCTTTTGTTGTCGCGGCTGAAAGCGTCCATTCCCGAGATCAAATAGAAAGAATCCAGAGCCTTGCAATCCCCCACATTGTCCCAATCATGGCCGACCTTTCCTCTCTCCCCTCAGAGCTCATGCTCCATGTCCTCAGCTATCTTCCTATTCGTGACCTCCTCTGCTTCTCTGTCACCAGTCGCTCTTCATACGCTCTCGCATCGTCAAGCCTGCAAACCCTCTCCCTCGGCATATATCCCACGCGGGTATCCAGCCTGATCAGCCAGCTCTCGAGCACCAACCCCTCCGCATCACCGTACTCGCGCAGCCGAAGAAGCAGCCTCGAACACGGCCGCAAAGCAGCAAGCACGCCCGCCAAACCAGAGACGACGGCCGCGGACCTCTTCAACGAAAACTGCACCGTCGCCCATGTCATCCCCTCGGCGTCCAACTTTCAGCCCCACACGCTGCTCGCCTTCCACACGGCCCTTACCTCGTCCATCCTCGCCCGCTACCGCGTCTCGCTGCGCCATCTGGAGTTGAGCGTCTGGGCGCTCACGCCGCCCGTCGCCAAAGCCCTGGCCCAGCTGCACAACCTGCGCTGCCTGAGCCTGCGGGTCGAGGACCCCTTCGGCCGCGGCTTCCTGCGGCGCTGGGTCATCAATTGGGGCCACGACGGCGACGGCAGTGGCGACAGCGACGACGGCGACAGCGACGACGATGACGAAAGCCCGCGCCGCGGGAGGAGGTCGCTCGATGTGTTCCGCGCGATGCCAGAGGCCGGGACCGGTGTCGAGTGGAACGAGCTGGCGCTCGCGTGGAAGCGCCTCCAGGTTCTGCGCGTCAGTGGCGCTGATGTCAGCGATTGGCAGCTCTGTCAGATTGTGAAGAACAATGCGGGTCTGAAGGAGCTGTGGCTGAATAAGTGTCCGGCGGTGGGGAGGGAGCTGCTGACGTTTTTGGGGGGGGAGTGGGAGGGCAGGGCTGGGCTGGAGACGCTGGGCTTGGTCGACTGCAATCTTGATGCCGATGTCAATGATGAGGTTGTACGGCATGTGGGCGGCTTGTCGAACCTAAAGGTATGTTGTGCATTGAGGCGTTCTCGCCGGGGTCGAGAATTACGTTGCTCGTATTACAGTCGCGGTGTAATCTGACATCTCCTAGTTACTATCCCTGCTAGACTGCAGGGGGTTGTCAAACGAAGCAGTCGAGCGCATGAACGAGGACGTTTGGCACATTCCAGATGTCGAGCTGCCGCATTCGACAGACAATGGGCTGGCACCCGCCGTCATTGAGGTCGATCCCGCTTATATCGACATCGACGATGATGACTGATCATCCGACATACGAAGCCTAATGGATCTGGTAGTAGCCATCTTATGGCCGCATGAACCGCTCCATAATCAGCCGCAGCGAACATTTTGTGACAGTGTCACGGTATTCTCTTGCGGCGGTTTCAGACGGATCTCCTCCGAGCTTCAGTGAAGCCCTGTCGACGCGGTAATCGGTTTATGCTGTGGGTATTGGTGTTTTCATAGCTGGGCGGTAAAAACATATATTATGATGGGCGTTCGGGTCTTTGTGCAGACGGCGCAAGTTTCGTGGTGAGGGTATGGGATTCCCGGGTGGGGTCGGCGTCCGCTCCCTTTAACATCCATACATAACAGCTTTCGTGCGAGCACGAATAATACTACGTCGAACCGGCTTGTTCTTCCCAGCCACTGCAGATAGCGGTGTCAGTGAGTGGTATGAACTAGTCCATGGTATTAAACCTTCAAATGCCAGCTGTCAGAGTAATCATTAATTGCACTTCGGACAACAAGGACGAATTTTACTAGAGCCGATTGGAATAGCTGACATTTAGAGCTAAGCTTAACAGAAGCACCTGGGTTCCGGCAGTGTGATTGTAGTGGGAGGTGCGTACAGGCAATTGAGACTGCAGTGAAGTGCAACACCATGACTAACACCACGACTTCACTCGCGACTTCACACGCGACAATAGCCAACCACCCCGCCATTTTCAGTGCCAGCCACTCTGAAACACAACCAGCCATGTGATAATTAAAAAGAGCCTCCTCATGCCGTCCATCCTCCTTCTTCTTCATCCCTCATCACCCTCACCTCCTCAATCTCTCAACCTCTCCGCCATCATGCCCGAAATCCCAGCCATGGAGCCGGTCGACATCGCACCTCTGCCCGCGATCATCCCCCCCGTCGTCGAATACCGCGGATGGCGATCTCGCATGTCTGAAAGCAACTGCGCAGTGAGTTAGCATTGAGGCCATCTTTTTGGACACGCCCGCCCCTTTTTTGCCTAGGACTGGATGACATCCATAGATGACCATTTGGATTCTGGCCGAGAGCCTTCTCGAATGGGAAACGTACAGCTTTCTTTGGCGGCACAGCGCCTCGGTCGACACGAACTTCCTGCGCTTCTTCTTCGAAAAGGCCGTCGAGGGCTTCGACTACGCCAAAGGAAGATTCAACGAGCTCCACCTCTTCGAGGACCTGTACTACGTCGCGCTCGCAAAGATTATCGAGCTCCACAGCGACCTCCGCCTGGTAAGTACACCCATCCTATCCATCTCTCATACCGCTCAAAACTGACTCTCCCTCTCAGCGCTTCAGCAACGGCTTCCTCCACTCCACCACAATCCTGTACACCAAGAGCACGCGGCACGAAACCGAAGCCACAACCGCGCACGACATGCAGCAGCACCTCGAGTTCGCCTGGCACGAGCTCACCAGCATCGACATGCTCGCGGCGCTGCACCAGTCGATCCAAACCGAGCACATAGTGCGCCTCAAAGCCGCGCACAACCTCCACGTCTTCCGCGCCCACAAGCGCTACTCCACCGCAACGCCCACGCGCGCGGCCCTCGCCCGCGTCCGCGACACCCTGCGCGCGCACTTCGACCCCCGCGAGATCCGGCCCGCCACGCCCGGCCTCGCCGACGTGGGCCGCCTCGGCGCCGCGGGCCTCATGGCCCTCGTCTGGAGCAGGAGCAGCTTCGGCCTGCAGAGCTGGGTTACGCATGCTCGCTGGGAGGAGAAGGAGGAGCAGCAGCTACGCAAGCAGCAGCGGCTCGAGCACCTCGACCGCATCAGCACCGCTACTACGGCCGTGCTGGCGCACTCGGCGGAGCACTCGCCCTCACCTTCCTCCTCCAGCGGCAGCTGTTCCTACTCCCCCGCCACGGCCAGCACCTCCTCCCCTTCGGCTTCCTCTCCCTCAGGATACAGCACCGCGCCCACGACGCCCGACCGCGACTGGGCGGCGACAGCGGCGGCAAACGACATCCAGGCCTCCACGAACACGGCCCTCATCCTCACGCCCACGCCCACACCCACGCGCACAGCACCACCACCGCCAAAGCGGCGTCTCCGCCTCCGCCACTCGCGCACAACGCTCCACCGACAGCGGGCACTCCTCAAGCTCACCGGCGTCCTCGCGCCCAACTCGACGCTCAAGCGCTCCGCGACCGCGCCCTCGTTCTCCGCTTACACTAGCACCACCTCGCTGACCCTCACCTCCCCTACTGTCCCAACCACACCTATCAAACCCACCACACCCACCACACCTTCCCCTATCCCCCACAAACTCAACAACCACGACAACAACCGCAACACCAACACCCCGAACCTCCCCCCCTGCCACTGCGCCCCCGCCTGCACCTGCAGCTACTGGTGCGCAAAAGAGCCCTACCAACCCTGCGCATGCCGCTTCCCGGCCGCGCACATAGCGCGCACGCGCTGCGTCAGCGTCGCGGGGTCCGCGTACACGGCGACGAGCGAGGGCGTGTCGGAGCCGGAGTCGGAGCCGTTGATGGCGGGGGTGGGGTGGGGATGGTGGGGATGAGCTAGGCTGACAATGGTGCGTGGCTTGCTGGGAGCTGGGAGCTGCTTGGAGACGTTGGGTTGGGAGACGTTGGGTTGGGAGACGTTGGTTGGGTTTGCGCAGTGCAGTGCTTGCAGGAGACGGACAGGGTCGCCGGATTGCGTGAGGCCGAGGAGGCTCAAGACGGACGGACGCTCAGAAGACGGGGTAAGTGCCTAGCCAAGGGGTGGGTTGGATTGGAAGCGTGAGCGGCTTGACTGATTGATGGGTTCGAAGATGAGGTATCTGCCCAAGAAAGAAAGGAAGGAAACCACGGAACGCACAGAGAAGGACGACGACGATGACGGCGACGAAGGAGGAAGGCCGGGGATATGCTTGGTTGGTTGGTCCCATGGGAGGGAGGAGCAGCAAGCCTAAATAAAGATGAGATGATGGCGGGTTGTGGCTTTCGGATCTTGAAAAGGACGGCGGAAGGAAGCAAGAAGGAAGAAGGAAAAAAAAAAAAAAAACAGGAAAAGGAGAAAGGAAAACGGATCGACCTAATTGAATGGAATTGAATGGAAACTCACGGTCCAGCAACCAGGTGAATGAAGGGAGGGAAGGAGGGGGGGAGGTATACCACGGTCCACAGCAGCGCACATACATACCATTGCCGAAAGAAAGAACTTCAATGCTGCTTCCAGCGAATTAGCACAATACAATACAATACAACACAACACACTTCTCTCGAGGCCCACAACGCCCGAATACTGCTCTTTCCGATCAATCCCCTGCTTCAAGTCTGCCTACTCGTTAGCCCCACCGTGTTTCTAACCTGTCATCCAAGTCCAACCGAGTGACGAGTGACGAACGCCACTGCAGTCTACCTACTTACCCTTACCCTTCTAGCCCCAACACACAACACACAACACCGCTACTTCCCCACCCCATCCAACGCAATCCACGTCGCCATCTCCAGCCGCGTCGACGATTTCCCCACCCCCCTACCACTCCCACTCCCACTCCCACCAATACCAGGGCTCCTTCCCCCACCACCACCACCACTCCACCCCCCAGCCCCCCTCACCCCCTTACCATGCCGCTTCCTCGCCCCGCCCGTCGACCTACACCCACGCGCCTCGGACCCACCTCCCGCACTCGGACTCGTCTCCCACCAAGCGCGGGTCGGCGTGAGCGAGAGCGCGGAGGCAGGAACAGGGACAGGGACAGGGATGGGTATCTCGTGCAGCGGCGGCGCGACTTCAGGAAAAGTTGTTGTTGTGGGTGGGGCTGGTGGGACGGCGCTGGCGCTGTTCGCTGTGGTGGTTGTGGCGGCGAGAGCGGTCGTGGTGGGCGAGGGCTCGCGCGCCGTACTGGGCGTGGTGGTGGCGTCGGTGTTGATGCTTGCTGTGGCTGCTGGGGGCTGGAGTGCGTGCTGCGCGGTTGAGACACTGGAGGCGCAGGATGTGATCCATGACTGGGAGCCGGAGCGCGCGCTGCTGTTCGTTAGGACTGTTGAGCGGGAGGGGTTGCGGCTTTTTGCTTGGTGCGCGGTGTGCTTGTTTGCTGAGGAGGCAGTAGGCGTTGACGGTTCGCCCTGTTGCGGCTCCTGAACCAATGTCCCGGTAGTTGTCGTGGAGCCGCTTGCTGTGTGCCCGGGTGCACTCGTGGCATCGCACTGAAGAGTCGCCGCTGGTGTGGCCTGGTAATCCTGTCCATCTGGTCGGTTCAGCCACAGCTGGATGCGATCCTTTGAGCCGCTCCTCTCGCGGGCATGTCGAATTCGCTTTACAGTGCGCTCCCTCACTGGCGTGTTGATGTTGCCTTCAAGATGTGTATACTTCGCCGAGGCTATGAGGGTATCGCTACTGGACAGCGAAGCTTCCTCTGCCGTGCGTGCGGACTGCATCGGCGAAGTATCGTTGGTCTGGGTGTCTTGGTTCAGTTCTTCGATCAGGAGAGCATGTGAAGCTCTACGGGCAGAGCGTCTAGCACTTTCTCGGGTTGAACGTATATCGGACGTCTCCTCAAATACGGCAGCCTGCCCATGTTGACCCTGCGCGTCTTTTTCGTTGGATTCCGGTGCAACAGGCTCCGTGAAAACCTGCTCTTCCAGCACCTTTATCAACGGTCGAGACTTTGGACGGTACGGCAGAGATGTCATCAAACTAGGAGCATCGTCATCCAGGAACTCAAGCTTGGACTCGTTCTCCGCGGTCTCCGTGCTATTAGTTTCAGAATCGACTCTTTTTCGCTTCCGTCGGACCTCAAGAGGTCGTAGAAGGAAGTGGCCCGTTTCTTCGGTCTCCAATACTGATTTGGTATTGATGCCATTCCCTGACGCTCTGAATGTGAAAAAAGCGCCGTGTAGCTTACCATAACTCCTATCCTCATCTCCTGGTTTCTTTGCTTTGTTGGCGGTTTGGTTGCCTTCTTGTGCCACCTGGAAATATGGATTTGTGAATACAATTTTTGGGAATGGCGTTTGGTTGGAGCCTTTGGAGGCTTGTCGCAAAAGAGGCCGATTTTCCTTCAAGGGTGATGCTACTTGTGATTTTTTCTGAACACGCTTGTAGTCTGCTGAGGATCTTTTCTGTTCCAGAGGGCGCTTGTTGTTCCTTGCGTTTTCGATCACCGAGCTACGAGGTAGTTCATGAGCGGACTGGCGTCCTTTTCTATCCGAGCAATCTCGAGTCTCCTAGCAACACGTTAACTTTGGTTCATTCCGATATATACTACGCGGTAAATTATACTCTGTTTCCAGAAATAGATTCACCCAGCGCAGGCGAAGCCCCTGACGCCTCACCAGGGACAACATGCGTTGTCGGCTGCTCAGCCATGCTTTGTTCCACAAGCGTGCCTAACATTTCTCCTACAGGGCCCGGAGACGAAGAACCTGGCATCGGTCGTTCACTTTTGCTCCAGCTCGTAAGCCAGGATTTGACTATTGATCCAATTTCCTTACGCACGGGAATGGCCTCAGAACTGGAAGTGCTTGCCAAAGAAGTCCTGTTCCAATCAATTCTGGCCTTGTACCCATATAGCCAAGCCAGGTTGCCAAGCTTCCCGTGTGCGCATATACTGTCCACATGGCCTCGGCGTCGGTACATCGTAATATGGAATTTGTCGCCGTAGATATGCTGAAAGTCAAATCCGTCATGTTTTGGCGAGCTGTATACCCAAGGGGCACAGGAGTCCTCAAGGCCTGCGTCACATGCTACACCATCGAGGTTATTGCGTCCATGATCGCCTAGCACTAGGACAACGTTCGGGCGCGAACGCAAGGCCATCGGAAATTGCAGCATGGTGGTACGAAGCTCCTTGAATGACCGCGGCTGAAAGGTAAGATGGCGAAAGTGGATGTGGTAGAAGCGTCTGCTGGCATCGAAATACATGAATCGGTTGAGGCAGAAGATGACGAAGCCGTGAGGTGGAAGGTGCCAAGTGCCGACAGGGATTGGAGGTTCATCTTTGGGGCCCAACCTCTGCTCTTCGTAAGTAGTATAGGGCAATGGGACATTTATGTATTTGAGGTCGAAGCAGTAATCGTAAATGATGTTTCGGATCCAAGGATCAAAGTCCTTTGAAGGACGGGAGAAGAATAGATCCTCGCCCTCGCCTGGCCGCCGAATCTGGATATGAGGCCAGCACATGATGAGATAAAAGTAGTGGTTGGTGAGTTGGATGGATGACTTGATGTCTGAGAGAGAAATGAGTTGCCTGTTGTGCAGGCACCCGGCAGGAGCAAAGCATACTTATCGTCAGCAGGCGCAATGGTAGCGATCCGACTGGAAGCGAGGCAACCACTCTAGATAACGATTCGATTGTTGGCGTGTGCAGTGGGTTTGACGCGTCCACGCGCGCCATCACATGGCGTCAGCAACTAATACATATCAACGCGTACCTACTCTGTCCATTGCCACCTACACACACGCACAACATGTCGAAGCCAGTAACGGAGTACCAGACACGCGTCTACACGCTGCTACAGCAGATTCCTCAGGGCAGAATCACCTCGTACGCGGCGCTAGCTCGGGCGTTGAAGTCGTCGCCGCGCGCAGTTGGCGGCGCGCTGCGCAACAACCCCTTCGCGCCCGAGGTGCCTTGCCATCGCTGCATTGCGAGCACCGGAGTGAGGCAGGCCCACCTCTGCTCGACATGCGTGTCGCTGACAGCATCAACAGTTTATCGGCGGATTCAATGGCGACTGGACCAAAGTGCCGAGCGGCCTAAACTGCGAGAAGAAGCTGAAGCTTCTGTCGGAGGAGGGAGTGGCATTTGATACAAAGGGCATGCTGCTGGACAAATCGTGTTGGTGGGACGAGTTTAGGGTGTAGCTAGAGCAAGCAGTAACGTAGCAGGGTGAATGGTGATGTCGCGACTCGCGATCGTCACGAAGCGATTTTTCGGCCAACCGCATTCGGGCACCGCGACATCTTCAACTATACATCATCCGAGTCCACCCACTCTCGTCTCCCTGCAAACATGGCGAAAAAGAAGCAGTTTCTGCAGCAAGCCAATCTCAAGCAATCCGCGCACCAAGGCAAGCGCAAGCAGCCTGTAATCATATGCCTCCCGCGGCTGAGCTTCACCTGCTGACGGTGATCTCTAGGAGCCGCAAACCGAAGATGACTTTCTAGAGGCCGCCGATGAATTTGAGAAGAGCGGCGGCAAGTGGCGTGCAGGCGATGCGGCCAAGGCGGCACGCTTCTTTCAGAGGGCTGTGGATGCCTATGCTGCCGGCTTGCAGAAGTTTCCATCGTCTTTTGATCTCGCATACAACAAGTAGGTCTCGCATTTCTACTATCCTCACTTTCAATTGCTCTTAAACAAGTCAATCCTCGTTCATCCATTACCCCCACCCACAGCTGATCCTCCAGGGCACTCCTTGAGTACCAAATAACCCAAGACGTGCGCATTGCCGCGCAACTCGGCCACCCGCTCATCGACCTTCAGCGACAAGCCCTATCGTCGCACGAGCTGGCCCTCCGCCTCGACACCACCAACACGGATGTCCTCTTCAACACCGCTCAGACCCTCTCAGATCTCGCCGAACATGCCCCCAAGCCCGAGGCTACGCAAGCACTGCAGCGCGCCGTCGGCCTCATGCGCCAGTGTCTGCAGCGCCAGGTCTCTGATTACGAGGAGCTGCAGGCCGCATTTGCAGCTGCCAATGCCGGTGCTGACGCCGGTGTCGGTGCGCCGTCGTCTGCCCCGGGGAAGTCTGCGGCCTCCGCGCCTGGTAATTCGAACGAGGAGTATGCCGTTGTTGAAGAAGCTGTCTCAGAGCGCGATATTCTGGACTCTGTCTTCGCACTTACGCACATGGCCGCGGAGCTGGTCGGCTTACTCGACGCACAGCAGCTCGACGCCGCGCAGACGGATGTCGAGTTCACGATGGGCCTGTACGCGGCAGGCGGGCTGGAGACGTACATTGAGCGGCTAGACCGGACAGTGCCGGAAGCCGGTAAGTACTTCCTTCAACTCGTGCCCTAGCGGCCATGTGCGCGCTTTATTGCCTGCAAAATCAATTGACACCCGTAGCCCCCGCAACCCCCACGCTTTCCCTAACGCTTAGTCTCTCCGCCCCACAACAACCGCGCCACCAAACGCAACAGCAACAAAGCCCCCACGCCCTCGCCCTCGCCGAAGCACATCTCGCACACGCCGTCCTCACCGCCGCCGTCGCAGACGCCCAGTTCCGCTGCGCGGCCCTCTCTCCGCTCTCCTACTACCGCCGCGTCCTCCGCGCCTTCACGCGCACCCCCGCCCTCGCCGAACCCGCCGGCCCCGCCATCGAGCCCACCACGGCAACCGACGCGCGCTGCGCCCTCGCGGACGCCCTCCTAGCCTATGCCGCCGCGACCGCGCCTGACCCCGCCACCCCACCAAAGGCGGCACTGGCAGCGCTGGCGGAGAAGTGGGCGCGGAGCGGACTGCCCGCGCAGCTTGCACCTGCTGAAGCGGCGGAGACGGCACCGGTGCCTCTTGCGGCTTTGCTCCCCAACGACGCGGCAGCGGCCGACGCGCTTGACGCGGCCGATCCCGCCATTCCCTCCGCTGCTCTCCACACCGACGCCCTATGCCGCGCGCTCCTGGCCCTGCGCACCGCGACGCTCCAGCTCGCGGGCCTTGCGGCGGGTGAAGCGGAAGCGCGCGCGAAGCTGCCGCAGCTGCGTCTCTCGGCCGGAGACGCGCGTTGGCGACTGCGCAACGCCGGGCTCGCGCTGGCAGAGAGGGCAGGGTCAGAGGCAGAGCGGGAGGAGCAGGTGAAGACGGCGCGGCGGGAGGCGCTGGCCGCGGAGGGGGAATGGGCACGGGCAAAGACGGAGGGGATGGGCGTGGGCATGGAGTGTGCGGAGGAAGTTTTGGAGGCGGGAGCGAAGGTGGGAGTGGCGGGTGTATTGAGGGGAGTGGGGAGTGGGTTGGTGGAGGGAGGGGAGGAGGTATGGCGCGAGATGAGGGAGGAGAAGATGGTATTTGAGGGAGAGGGGGAGGGCGTGCTGGCGTGAGATAAGTACAGTACCTAAGACAGAATGATGGAGGATTGTATGCATGTATGCGTGGAAGGATGACGGAAGTAAGATCGGAACCCATGATGGAGGATCTGTAGCAACCCTGCCGATAAGCAGCCAGGCCGTCAGCTGGCTAGCTTTCGTGAGACGACGGCGGTGCAACACAGCGGAGCGCAGCGGAAGAACCGGGGCGGAAGAGTAACTGCAAGGCAAGACAGGGAGTGGGATCTCGACGCACTTATCTGAAACCAGCATCGGAGCAGACGAGATGCCTGTTTTCGTCTGTCTACGAAGTATATAGGGCAGGAGAGCGCAGAAAAGCAAAAACACGGCTATGAATAGACGGGTGAATTATCAGCGAGGGAAGCTAAGATGACGATGATGACAGGTGCGCGTCGTGGAACTGGAGGTATTGGGCGTTGGGATTGGTTGGCGGCTGTCCCGGTAGTGGTGATGGTAGTGGTGGTGGTGATGGTGGAGAGAGATAAAAGTACAAGCCAACGGCTTGGCTGTTTGATCGACGAGTGCAACGCTCTCCGCCTCCAGCCGGACAAAGAACCCCGTATCCTGACGTAGACATACATGCACACACGCATAGCTACAAGCAAACCTACCTGCCTTACAAGCATGAAAAAGACAAGGCATCGCGCCGTCCTTCCCCGCTCCGATCCTTCGACACCTTCCCTACCGACTACCCAACTCGGCTAGCCAAACTTACCTAACCTCGCCCGCCGTACGCCTCCACCAAAATCCACGCAGCCCACCCGTCCTACCCACCAATCAACTCGCTCCCCACCGCACCCGCCCCGACCTCCGCTCCGGTCTCCGCTCCGACTTCCGGAGCCCTATCCATGAATGATCTAGATTGAAGACGCCTCCGACCTGACGATCGGTGTTGGTGGCAGTGGTGGCAGCAGCTAGCAGCAGCAGCAGCAGCAGCAGCAGCAGCAGCAGGCGCGGGAAATCTGACATACATGGCTTGAGAGACGGGAGAGGGCAGGCAGGGTAAGCAAAGAATCTGACAAGAGGAGGAGACGGGAATGGCGGATGGATGGATCGGGAAAGAGGGTAGTGTATGTAAGTGCTTTTGCGCCGCTGCTGAGTGGGCAATGGGCGAGCGAGGGGTGTGCTTTTTGGCCAGGCCAAGGCCCGTGGCTGACCTGGCTAAGGTTATGGCTGATTGCCTCGCCCTGGGGTCGCGGGGAGGCAGAGGCACCAGAGGCGGGTGTTTGGCTGACGACGCCGGCGCGCGTGTTGGCTGGGGAAGTAGCCGTGAGGTGGCGCAACAGTAAGACGGCCTGGGCGCGTTTTAAGAGGGTCCCGGGCAGTTAGAAGAGAAAACCCTCATCTATGTATGTATCTAAGTGAAGGGTACGCTAGGTCGGCCAGATCTGATCTCAGCCGTGCTCATGTTTCATTTTGGCGCTCGCGGAGGATGCGCGGCGGGGGCGCCGGGGACCCTCGCTGCTGTTCAGCTGGCACTGCTGTGCGAGGATGAGCACGTCTAGGCGTGGCTAGCGCGCGGCGCGTGTGCGAGTTGGAGAGGAAAGTGAGAGACGTTAGTTACGTGTAGTATGGCCGCCCATCGCACCGGCTCTCCACCGCCGGGGCACACGCAAAGCACACCAAGCACACACAGCGCACCCAAGCAAAGCAGGAAAGCAGGCAAGCAAACAAGCTAGTGACTAGTAGTTAGTTGCACGCGGTTGCGCAAAAAAGAAAAAGTGACGTCGCACCCCACATGGCTTGGGGTTGTCCAGCGCAACAGTTGTAACAAAGGTGAGAGGCCTGTGAGGCGGTGGCCTGAGGAGGGCGAGGGGCGCGGCTGGGCCCGCAGGAAGGACCGGGGAGCCAAGGGATGAAACTGTCGAGAAATGGCAGCAGCAGAAAGCACAGAAGCCCGTCAGAAACTAGCACGCGCGGCGGATTCCGGTGGCAGTGGCTCACATGGTCGGCAATTGTTGGTGCGTGGTGTGATGAACGGGCGCACGCGGGGACTCTGACAGGGGCCTGACCTTGGAGAGAGCAGCAGCAGCAGAGTGGAGGGGCGTCTTCTATATACAAGTCTCTGCCGTCCGTTACAACAGTACAGCCGCAATGCCCTCCATAAACTAGACCGGGGTCCCGTTCATCGCAATCCCGCTTGAAACTCGTCTCTTCCTGACAACCCCCCTCTCCCCTCGAACGACACAATGCCCTCCGTTTTGGGCGCCGCCCTCTTCCGCCCGCATTCCGATTCGCACACCACCACCACCACCATGCGCGATTCCAGTCCTCATCCTCCCCCGCCGCCCGATCAGCGACAACGACAGCAACAGAGCAGCAGCTGTTACGGCTACCACAACACCTTTCACACCCACGCCGTCCCCGCCGACCCCGACCAGACGCCGCCCACCTACGACTCGCTGCGCCCCGAGCCCGTCTGCCCGCGCGAGGCCCTCCCGACCTACTCGTGCTCCGTCCTGTTCGAGGGCCCGCTGGGCTTCAAGAGCGAGTACCACGACGTCTTTGAGCGCACGTGCACGCGCGACCGCCAGTGGCAGGATGTGTACGTCGTGCTACGCGGCACGCAGCTCAACGTGCACCGGCTCAAGACATCGTTGTTCCACAGCCGGTCGAAAAGGGCGGCAGCTGGCCGCCTGATGCGCTCCTACTCGCTGCAGCACGCCGAGGTCGGCCTGGCCCTCGACTTCAAGAAGACTGAGCTGGTGCCGCGCTCGGCGCTGGCGCGCCTGGTGCCGCTCAACGCGCGCGCCGCCGTCTACGAGACGGATCCGCACCTCTTCCTGCCCGTGCGCGAGCACGCTTTTCGCCTGCGCTGTGAGACGGACCAGTTTCTGTTGTGCAGCGCCGAGCCCGAGGGCATGCTCGACTGGGTCGAGCAGCTGTGTGCCGCCGTTGACATCTCGCCACCGCTCGACGACCGCAGCGAGCCTCGCTACCGCAGCCTGCCGCGCCGCGGACGCAGACAACGCCAGCTAGACGGCCGCGGCCCTCGCCCCGAGCCCGTCGACCTCACCGCCCGTCGTCTTCTCGCCGAGCAAGAACGCATCATCCGTACTCTCTACCCCAATCTCGCCCGCGACGGCGCCGACGACGACAACAACAACCTCATCGGCAACTCGCACTCCAACGGCGATGCTGACGCTGACGACCTCGACGCCTCTGACATGCTGTTCCCCGGCCGGCCCGCCTCACCCGACCATCATCAGGAGCCGCACCGCCGCGAGACGGACACCAGCACCCCCACGCCCACGCTTGCCGAGCACGACCACCAACCACGACCCCTGTCGCCCATCGAGACGCATGACCCCAGCAACGGCGACGCCCCCATGAGTGGTTCGATAAAGCTGCCGCGCAGTGGCCACGCCGAGCCTTCCGCATCCTCCCTCTTCCGCTACCGGCGGCGCTGTGCGCCCGTGCTGCTCAGCTCATCCCCCCGCGCCAGTGAAGTCATTTACTATGAGGGGAAGCGGATGCGCGTCCAAGCACGCAAGCAGGCCCTCCAACCGTACCGCGATCTTCCCCCGCATTACGCGGCGCATCGATTCACGCAGGCCGACCGGGATCAGGCGCTGAACCACCACGGCGACGACGAGGACGAAGACCTGGCAACGCGACCGGCCCTGGTGCACCGTCCCACGGCGGATTCTTCGCTCGTAGGCCCGGCGTCGCTCTTCCACCTCGACGTCGACATCGATTCGGACGCCATCGACCTCACTCCAATGACGAGCAACGAGCTGCGCCGACAGGCAACGAGCGAAAGCGTTAGCGTCGCGCCCACGTCGGCGCCCGCCCTCACGAACACCACCACCGCCACAAGCACACCCGCCACAACGACTTCGACCACTACCGCGACCACCGTCACTCCCGCTGCAGCGCCCATGTCTATTCCCAGGCGAGCGTTTTCGGCCACGACGCGCGTCGCCGCCCTCGCTGCAGCCCAGCGCGCCGAGCACAAGGCCGCCGACGCCGATGCATCCCCGCCGACACGTCCGGGCCTGCCGAAGCGGTTTCTGAGCCGCGCAAAGGCGCCGCTGACGAGTGCCGCGGAGGCGTTTGGCGGGCTGGTCATTTAGGGGGGGCGGCCTTTTGAGGCTGCGTGCGTGCGCGCGTGAGTTGGCGGGCCCTGGGGCTCGTTCGTCTCAAGTCGGCCTCGCTTCCGGGCTGGGCCTTTTTCGTCCTTGGCTTGGCGCGGCACAGCTAGGTTTAGGCCTAGCGGGGTGGCGAGCCGTTCTCGCCGAGCGCGTTGTGGCGGTGTGGCACACTTCTTCTTCCTTCTGATGCTGCGAATCCGCGGCTTTTTCCGAGCTTTTTTCCTTTGTTATTTGGAGCATGGACTGGCTGGGCTGGTACATCATGCGCGCACACTTTCAAAACTTGCCACATACGTACACACACACATGCGCACACTCACGCACATACCCGACCAGGGCCGACCACCAGCCCCATCATATCGATCGGCCCACGACCGGCCCATGACCACCGACCAAACCCGACCAGACCTACTCTCGCACAGGAGCAGGTTTCCTTTGTAGCAGTCGCTCTCTCACTCTCCTTTTTTCATTTTCCCGAGTATCTCAGTCTCGTTTGTTCGGTTTTTTCTTCTCTTTTCTCTCTCACGGTCGGCTTCTTTGCTTGTAACTGTTGTCTTGTCATCATATACCCACTGAGCCTGTCTGTCTGTTATTTTCTTGTTTTGTTTTAGTTGCCGATTTACCACTCCTCCTAGTACTCCTACTACTACCACCGCTGGCACGGCGGCGGCTTGTCTGGCGTGTGCGTCGACTACGGCGCGCAATGTACAGTTTTCTCTGCTAGCTAGCTAGCTTGCTTGCTTCTGGGAATCATCATCATCATCATCACCACCACCACCATCACCATCGTAATCGATATCGGTGCGTTCTTCAGCAGCAGCGGCGAAAGGCGGCGAAAAGGCTGGGCTGGGACCGCAACGCGTGCGCGCGCTTGCGCTTGCTTCTTTGCATGCATAGCTTTTGGCGTCGGGACTGGATTGGGTGGCTTTTGCTCTTGCTGTTGCGCTTCTTCTTCTTCGCAGCATTATTGGCGTCATGGGTGGGTGGGTTGTGGTTGTGGGGTTAGTGGGGTTAGTGGAGTTAGTGGGGGCTTGGGGCACAAGGGGTGTCTGTCAGGAGAAGGAAAAGTTCGTATAAAGTTCGTATGCTGTGCATGGATGGGATAGAGTGGAGCTGAAGAAGAAGAAGAAGAAGATGAAGGAAAGAGGGATAAGAGTGGGGTTTGTAGGTGTTAAATAGGGGGTGCGTTGGTGGTATTGGGGTGGGGGGAGTCGAGCTCTTTAGCTACTTCGTTAGCATGCAAGCAAGCAAGCAAGCACCCCGCTGCGCTGGCGCGTTTATTGCGCGCTGTGCGCTGTGGCTGCGGTTGCGTTTCGAGGGGCTTGGCTCCTTCCTCATCGTCGTCCTCCTCATCCTCACTGTCATCGTCATCGTCACTGTCAAGTTACTCTTGCTCTTCGAGCTCGTGCTTTTTGAGAAGCTATGCTAGGCTAGGCTAAGCTGTGTGCTGTTGAGATGTTGCTTGCCTCTTCCACTTTGCTGCTATGCCTTTGTATGAGCTGGAAACGTGACTGTTTGCTTGTCTGGCTGCCTGTCTGGCTATAGGTGCTATGCTGTATTAAGTGTGTATAGTGCGTAATGTTATGTTATATACCGTACCTAGGCACTGTACTCCATGGCATATATACCACACTCTCACAGCCCCCTCCGCCGCCTCTCCCCCTCTTCCTTCGCCTTCCTGCTCTTCCCCGGCTCCCTGGTGGTGATGGTAGAGGCAACAGCAGCCTTACCATCTGTCCTCCTCCTCTTCTGCTTTCCTCTCTTCTCTGCCTTCTTCTGCTTTCGTTCTTGTGCTCGCTCTGCTAGTAGTTTTTCTCGCGCCTTTTTGAGTCTGAGCCAGTACGGCTCGGGCCTTGAGGGCTGCTTCGTGTTTTGTTTCTGGTTGTTGGCTGTTGTGGTGGTGGGGGTGGTGGTAGCAAGAGCAAGAGCAAGAGCAACGGCCTTCTCTTCCATCTTCACCCGTTTCCGGATGCGTCTGCTGCGGCGACGGTACTCGGTCGCTTGGCGGCAAGCGACGCATTGGCCGTCGTCGCCGAAAAAGTGCTCTTCTCTGCGCGCGGGGATGGTTAGCTAACGGGACAGAGACTTGGGAGAAGCAGCAAACTCACAGCTCAGACTCGCACTTCCCTGCGTGTCCCACCTCCCCCCAATCGCACCGCTCGCACACACACGGCTTGTACATGCAATCCGAAAATGCGCCCGTCGCATCAATCCAGACATCCCCCCACGAGCGGCGACACCCAGGCGTCAAGCCCGCGCGCCGCGCCTCCACGCTCCCCATGACCTCATCGACAGCCACGTCCCACGCGTTCGCGCGCACACCATCCCTTAAACACACCCTCTCCACATTCTCAGCTGGGCCCCAATCAACGCGATAAACGCTGACCCAGCCGTCCTCCTGCTCGTCATCAGCCTCCTCCGTCTCCATCGCAGCCGCAACATCCTGCTCAAACTGCGCGAGCCACAGCCCCGTCCGCTCCCTCACGCTCTCCCAGCTCCACCCCCCGCGCTCACCGTCCGCCGGCACCGCGAGCACGAAGCTGCGGTACCGGTGCCCCGGCCGGCTGTGCCAGGGGTGCCAGGCCGCCGCGCCCGCCACCCACGTCGCCGGGATATGCGGCAGGGGGTGCGCGCCGCGGAGAGGGTTGCGCCGCGCCTCGTCCTCTTCCTCTTCCTCGTCTGTGGCCGTGCCCGAGGCGCGCCGTTGTGCCGCTCGCGCTTCTTTGCCGGCTTGCTGTGCGGCTGTGATTGCGGAAGCGCGCTGCGCCGCTCGCCAGGCCTTCTCCCGCTTGTGGTGCGCGATGCAAGCTGCAATGCTCGGCTGGGGGCCGTGCACGTCGACGCGGGGCCAGTGGTTGCGCGCGTTGCCCCAGCCGGCGATGGCGTCGCTGGAGAGGAAGGCGGCGCCGATGGCGGTAGCGGCTTGCTTCCAGTCTTGTTCTTGCTCTTGCGTTTGTGTTTGCTCTTTTGCTGCTGCTGCCGCCGCTTCTTCGGCAGCTCCGTCTGTGGTGGTCTCTTCCTCGCTCTTGAGTAGGTAGAGCTGGATCCCTAGTTTACGAACGCACGTTGCGCTGCCGCAGATGCACTGTGAGGGCCGTCCGCCTACTACGACGTAGGGCTGGCCGTTGTGGTCTGGGAAGGTGAGCGTGGAGTTGGTGCGGCTGTTGAGGACTTTGCGCGCCATTCCCGGAAAGGGTGGGAGATATGGCGAGGGAAAGGGATTAGTAGAAACACAGAGAGCAAGAAAGAGACTGGTGATTGAGAGAGTAGGGACAGAGGAAAGTTCAGAGAGCGAAATGCCCAATATAAAAAGCAAGGAAATCGGGATTGAAGTTAAGGCGGAAAGAACGCGGCGCGCGTGTGGCGGCCAGGCAGCAGCCCGCTAGCTTAACTACTTAACGCGCGCGCGCGTCAATCGTCATAGGTGTCGCCATTGACAAGCCATTCGTGTCTCCCGAGCTCTTGTACATGATTTTGGTGTTTCTTTGCAGAACTCGATGTTTGTTGAAGTTTTCGGACTTTAGCGCGAGAAACCGTCCTCATCATCCTTGCAAGAATGCGACGCTGTGATTGGCACACTTCTCTGACCTCTTCCTGTTCTCAATGTCTCGTGACCTCCGACAATACTTTCACCTTACCTGTTGGCATCAACCATCCGCTTTGAATTCGAGGCTGTATTTCTTTAATCGTTTCATCTTTCTCAACGAACACGTCATAAGTTAGAACAGACCATGGGCGCGACTGACCTAGAGCCGGAACCAGCAGGAGCCATCCCCGATGAGGAGCTCACTGGCTTCGAAAGTCCATCTAACCGCTTGCACGAAAATCCAATCGTAGAAGATGGGTTCGCTGAAGAGCAGGGAAACGCAAGCTCCGAAAGCCCAGGATTGAAAGACTGCCCATACTGCGCCTGCTTCGAAGAGGCATACAGACCGTACACGGAGGAGCACGGCAAAAGCCTTCTTGGGCAAAGAAACGACTTCAAAGTCACCCCAGAAGACCGCCACTACCTGTTCCACCAGGACTGTTCCTCGTGTCCTGCTACAGACAAGCCGCCAGCAGAGCTCTGCCAGTTCTGCCAGCATCTGCGCCTCAGACACATGCTCACTTGCCTGTCTCTGCGTGACGCGTGGTTGCTGTTCGATATGGGCTCGTTTGCCGACGTCGAAGAGCGCCGCCACCAATGTTGCTTCTGCCGCCTTGTAGCCAGCACTGGCCGGAAGATCCTAGAGGTCCGCTATCCGGGCCGTGATGAAAACTTTTCCAAAATGCATGTTTATCTTGAAAAGCCTGCGCAGTCGGATAGGACTTCGTTGTGTTTGGACGCTACAATGTACACCTCGATAAACGGGCTGTTGATGAGATCAAGACTGTCCGTACTTGACTTACAAGCCCATCCCCGTTCCGTCACTGCTCCTGAAGTCTTCCAGGACGAAACCTCTCGAGATGCCGTCACCCCTGTTTCCTCAAAGCCTCTCGCGGGACAGTTCGTAATATGGGAGCAAGTCCAACGCTGGCTGAAGAATTGTGGCGAGCGACATTCCCACTGCCAAAGCGCTTCTTCAAGACTAAAATCCCTCTCCGACTTCCGGGTAATAGACGTGAGGAAGAGGAGGATTGTGGAGCCGAGAGAAGACTGCCGATTTGTGGCTCTCAGCTATGTCTGGGGTGCGCGCCCTGGGCCCGAAGTAAAACGGCACGCGCTCTGCAAAGCCAGGATCACCGAGCTGCAGCAGGAAGGCAGCTTGAAAAGCCTTCCCCGCACTATCGAAGATGCCATGAGCATCTGCAAACGCCTCGGCGAAGAATATCTCTGGGTCGACCTGCTATGCATCGTCCAGGATGATCAAGAAAACAAACAGCGCCAAATCAACTCAATGGCATGGATATTTTCGTCTACAGTGTTGACCATCATCAGCGCTTGCGGAAACACCATGGGCTGTCCAATCGCAGGAGTCAGCCAAGACCGCCAGCTGCTTCAACAGCAGACAGACTTCTCAGGCCTCCAAGTCACCAGTATCCTGCCCGATTTTGACGAGCTAATCAGCAAGACGGTCTGGCATACCCGAGGATGGACATACCAAGAAGCCGTCTTCTCCAGGCGGAAACTCTTCTTCACGGCCGCAGAAGCGTGGTTCGAGTGCGAAGAAGGCCTTGACCGAGAAGACCACCACTTCCTCATCCCTCTATCCTGGCTCAAATGGAACCCATATGCCCTCTCAAGCTTTACAAGCCCTAGGAACAAAGTGCGCCGTTCGGGACACTGCACCCTCAAGGACTTCGATTTCCACCTGCGTGAGTATAGCGCGAGAACCCTTACATATCAGTCGGACATCTACAATGCCTTTTGGGGCATTGCAAGCGCACTTTATGAGGACGGGCCGTTTAGCTATGGCCTGCCGCATGCAGACTTCGATCAAGCTATTCTGTGGTCCCATGTTAGGAGGTTCCAATACGATGAAGCCCACCACCTACGGGACTCTGACACCGTACTGCCCTCCTGGACATGGGCGTCCATTGCAGGGAGGACCAGCATATTCCCTTACCCTTGGGATGAACATCGCTTCATCGGGACGCTGGTAGAATGGACCGAGTGCTCCTCTGAAGTCCAGGACCAAGGCGAAAAGCAAGCCGCCAGGAAAATCGAAACCTCAAACGAACCCCTCCAATGGCAAACATGGAGAGAAAAGAAAGACGGCCCGTGTCCCCAGCTCTTCCTAGCCATCGCCTGGAGCCAAGGCTGCTTCGAAGCGGACGCACCGCCTGGCCTTCTTGAGCAGCTCGGCGCCCCCTTCCCCCGCCTATCACGAATAACCACCTCTCGCTGGCCCACCGAGAAAGTCTTTCGGACAGAGCTGCTGTCCACCCAGCGAACCGAAGAGCAAGCAGAGAGGATACCAGCCGCACGCACTAACATACCCGCACACCACCACCGTAAAGGCGCCCTCTTCACTCGCGCGCAAACCGCCTCCTTCTGCCTCCGTGCCCACGTACCCCACGAGCTATGCCAGATGAGCCACCACCCCGTCTACGAGATCCTAGACGCAGCAAGCCAGCCCATCGGCCTCCTACAAGCTGGCGAGCCCAGAGTGGCAACCGAAGTACAGCCATGTCTGGACTCGGAACATGCAGGCTTCGAGCTCGTCGCCCTGTCCCTGTCGAGCGTGGCGCATGAGGTCCGCTGCTTGGCGCCGCGGGCGCTGCAACTCTCGACGAAAGAGTTGTGTACGCGGATAGGTTCTAGTTATACTTGCTTTGATGCCCAAGGGACGCCGCTTTTCCCCGTCCCGGTCGTGAATGTTTTGTTTGTAGGGTGGCGGGAGGGTGTCGCGCATAGGATCAGTGTTGGCTGGGTTCTTTTGACGAAGTGGGCAAGGGCTGAGCGGGGGTTTAAGGATATTGTTTTGGAGTAGGAGAAGGAGAAAGGAGAGATTGGCTGCTGCGTTTGCGAGGAGATGTGAGTCTGCTGTGAAATGTAGACGGCAGATGGAGATGCGTGAGATAACGTCCTGCTGGCTAGCAGGCATGACAACCAGCGAAAGCCTGCCGGCATGATGGTGCGCCAGACCGCAAGCCGCCGCTCCCAAACCAGTGCTCTGATGGACAACAAACCTAGGTGCCTCTTGGACGAGAAGAAACCTCGACGAAACAACCAACAGGCAGGCAGCGTCCTAACACTAAACACCAAACACCTTCACGCACCAGTATCACCCGACTCTTGCTTTCCCAGCAGCAGCAGCGCGGCACAGCGCACACGCAGAAGCACTCTCGACCTCAAGCCCCAGTTTCCAGTCCCCCCAGCCAACGGCAACAAAAGCCGCGCCCGCAGCTGCATCACCAGCGTCTCGTCCCTGCATAGGCACGAAGCACGCACTTCCTCAACAAACCATCCGCCCTCAACCCACCAAGCCTGCCGCGCGCATGGCATCACAACCCCCACAGCGCGGGCTGGCCGCTGCAGAGAAATGACGTGCGCGCCCACTTACCTAGGTAGCCCACACCCGTCCCACCGCATCGACTCGACGAGAAACGCGCACTTTGAAAAACAAAAAGCATCCACGTACGTCGTCGTCGTAGGTAGTCAGCGAGCGAGTGGCCGAGTGGCCGCGCGCATCGCGACCTGAAACGCGAGGCGCCCGTGACGTCACGCGCACCGAATGGATGGCCGGCCGGCTGTCAAGCCGTCTGTCCGGAGGCCTCTTCTCCGGCGGTGCGGTGTGCGAGTGTGTGTGCGTGTGTGCGTAAGGCAGGGTGGCGTTTGATGAAAGTGCGCGGTGCTGATGCGCCAGGGAGTGCGGTTCTGCGGCAGGCTGCCCTGCAGGCAGGCAGGTGGCTTGGCTTGCTTGGCCTGCGCCGAAACGACGCAAGGACGCGCGCGTAACCCGTGGGTAATTTCTTCTGCGCGACTGCGCCACCCGTGTGTAGGGAGGTTGCGTCGAGTATCGTTGACCTGTGCCGGGTTGGTGGTAGGTAGGTGGTTATGAAGTTGCGCGAGGTTGCGATAGTCGTTCGGTTCTGTGGCCCCGCGGGCCCGCGTCGGAGCGAGTGTCTGCCCGTAAGATTTTAGGTAGTACGCGAGAGTGGTTGTGAATCTTCGTGCGAGTGGTACCGAGAGGACGCCAGGGACTTGGACTGCGCTGCTTGTTCGCACCTACTTCGTACTTACCTATTTTTGCACCCACCGCGGTCGTGGGCGGTGGGCAGCTTCAGCTGTGCAATGAACAACAAAAGACTGAACAAAAGACTGAAGAAGTTGCGCTTCATGGTTGATTGAGTGATGTTGATAGATTGATTACCCTATTACGCCCTCCGGGAAAGGGCTTCCCTGCGCCATTACCAGTGTGATGCACTTGCTCTCGCTGCAGTTAACTAGCTACGAGATCAAGTAACCAAAAAGACAAGTCGCCAAACCGCCAATGCTATGCAATGGAGCCGATAGTTAGGGCGACATTTGAGTAATCATGTCGCTGATGTATGTTTAAGTGCCCCGGAAGAAAAAGATCGTAGACCATGTGCGAGTCGTTATGTTCAGGCGTGACAATAGGTAAAATAAAAAAATGGTCTCTTGATATGGCTTGCTTCCGCGAGGGATCTCTTAAATAAAAAAGGAAAAAATGTGATATCAAACAAATGGGTTTGCCGCACGCGACGCTGGCTGTCTCAAGCCAGCGGCGATCGACGACGCGACCTGGAAGAAGTAAAAATTATAGCCGCGGCGCTGGCGTTTACAGCACAGCGACGGCGACGGCGACGGCGCCCACCATGGCGAGGCCGCTACCCCACACGCCGACGGGTGCGGCAGCACCCGTGTAAGCCTGAGGAGTCGGCGTAGGAGTGGGGGTCGAGGGAGTAGCGATGACAAAGCTAGACGTGTTGGGAGTAGCAATGGGCTGGCCATCCGAGCGAATGGAGACAGGAGTAGGCTCAGGGGTAGCAATGGGCTGACCGTCGGAGCGGATCGAGACGGGGGTAGGCTCGGGGGTAGCAATGGGCTGACCATCGCTACGGATGGAGACCGGAGTGGGCTCGGGAGTGGCGATCGGCTGGCCGTCAGAGCGGATTGAGACAGGCGTAGGCTCAGGCTCAGGAGTAGCAATAGGCTGGCCGTCAGAACGTATCGAGATGGGGGTGGGCTCAGGCTCGGGGGTAGCGATAGGCTGGCCATCGGAGCGGATCGACACGGGCGTAGGCTCGGGGGTAGCAACGGGCTGGCCATCGGAACGGATAGAGACAGGAGTGGGCTCAGCGGTGGCAATGGGTTGGCCATCCGAGCGGATCGAAACAGGAGTGGGGTCTGCCGTGGCGATGGGCTGGCCGTCGGAGCGGATGGAGACAGGAGTGGCAGCAGAGGTAGCGATGGGCTGGCCGTCAGAGCGAATGCTCACAGCGGTGGTGGCGGCGGGCTGGCCATCGGGGCGCTGAGAGGCGCCGCCTTCGGACTCGCTGCCACCGCCCGACTTGATGATGTTGATGTAGATGGGCGAGCAGAGATTAGGCGTGATGTTCTCATCGTAGAAGTTGTAGAACTTGCCCGCGCCCTCACCGGACTGGCAACCGTAGAAGACGGCCGAGTCACCAAGAGCCAAGCTGCCGTTGCCGCAAGCAGAGAAGCCGGCAGTGTAAATAGAGCCCGCCTGAGGAGGCTTGTCGAACTGCAGCTGGTGGTTGCTGGCGATATAGCCAGTGCGGCCAAGCTGGTCGGTCAAGACACCGCCGTCAAGGGAAAGAACAAGGGCGTTGTTGGCAGGGCCACCGGACTCATCCTGGCGCTTGGTGATACTACGCTTGGTGACACTGGTGCCAGTGGTGGCATTGACGATGCTGATAGAGAAGTCGCCGCTGTCTGGGGCAATAATCAGCCACTGATCATGTGATATGGGTTCTGCAAGGAACAGTGCAACGTACGGGTTGGCGCGCAGCTGGCCGGGGCAGAAGCAGTGGGAGTAAGAGTCTCACTGACGCCGGCGGGGACGGCAATGGCGGCGCCAGCGAAGGCGGCAAGAGCGGCGGCGTACTTCATCTTGGTCTCTCCTCGGGGATGGTGGTGAGGTACAGGGAAAGCGAAAGTGTAGAGGGCGGCTGGAGCGACAGGTAGGTGGGATGAGGGAGAGGTGAAGAAGAGGGGAATGGATGTGCAGGACAGGGTATTTGTACACGCTGGAGATCAGCAAGCTTGAGGGCCGGCAAGATGGCTGGCAGCTTTGGGTGGTAACAAAGCGGGCTGGCCGGTTGCGCGTGTTCACCCTCCACTTTTTTTGTGCCGCACGCAGGCTTGCAGCTTGGCCAGTGTGGGGTAGGGCATATGATCGCCCCTGCTCAGGTCAAAGGGACCGTCAAAGACTCAGACAATGACTGCCCAGCCAACCCCTCGCTTTTTCCGTGAACGAATGAAACAAAGTAGCACTTTTATGCGCGGCCGGGGTCTCACCACCACCACCACCACCACCACCACCACCACCAGCGCACCTCGAATGCCTGCCACTCGTTTTCAACGCCGTTTGTCTCGCCTGCCCTCGACACGCATATGCCCGCCCCCGCAGCAAAGCCCCCGTCGGTGCATGCGCGTTCGGTCGGCGGGCGTCGGTGCGGCTACAAGGCGTGGCATACCTTGTTAGTGGCTCCACCGGGCGGTCTCGCACGTCCCCCTACTCATCACTGCCGTGTCGTGTCGTGATGGCCGCCGATGACGAAGACGCCCTCGGCGTGTCGCCGCGATGCGCACGTAGTATTCCTAGTACATGTTTCTAAGATTAGCGGCCAGTTAGAGGGAGCAGAGGTAGCGGCAAGAAAGACGCCATGACGACATGGAGCCGTGGGTAGTGGTGGTGCGAGCGAAGCGCTGAGAAAAGAAGCTCTCTCTCCCGGCAAAGGTGTCGCGTCGTCGTCGTCGCTTCGGCCACCAAAGACCCCGGCCTATCGCAGTCACGATACCGCCCCAGCCTCCGCCTCACCCTCTCTAGCGTCATATTAGCGGGCCCCTCGAATCCAGAGCCCCAAAAGCGCGCTTCCAACTTCCAAGCCAACCTGCAACTGCCCTCGCGGATCAACCGTCGCACCCCTCGTATCCGCGGGATCCTCGCTCCGGGATCGCCTGCCGCGTCTCCATCCTCCACGCCGCCCGCCTTGGCTTACCTGTTCGAGCCTGCGCCCAACGCCTCTGGGGGAAGAGGGCTGCAGCCAGACCGTCCGAGACTACGCACGCTACGGCACGACATTCAACAGAGTTTCTTCAACGCTTTGCCAATCCGCCCGTCCAGCAGAGCAGCAGAAAAATGACGAGCACATGCTCCGCGAAGCCGCGTCGTCTGGCGTCAGCTTATTCGCAGTCGAGTTGCCTGTCTTGGCTAGGCCGGCCAGCCTCTCCCTTTTCTGCGGCTGCCCCTGCTGCCTTTCTCCCTCCTCGGCTCCTCGCAGCCTGTCAATATTGTAAGCTTGTTGTGGCGCTCCGCCACTGCCGCCACGACGCCTTTACTCCAGGCCCGCACCTGCAGGTCCACGAGCCCCCGTGCCCCGCTCGCTGCACCGTCGTGTTGAACCGCCCCCGGTCCGCTCACCACCGTCATCGCCGGAGACAACGTGCTGCACCTTGCGATGTTTGCCGCCCAATAAGCCGCTAACAAGCGCTGGGAGATGAGGCTTGGGCGTGCGGTTATGCTGGCACTATCCACTGATACTTCCGACCCGTGAGAACACTGCCAGATTATTCATGATTTATGCATGTCATCATCGGGCAAACAAGTCGCGATGCGGCAATGTTTGCTATCACGCCCCGGAGACGGATCAAGCCTCTAGGTGCGGGGATGCCTGCTAGCATATGTATTGTTCCTCGTTCTTGACGCGGGATTTGCATCAGCGACAGGGCACTATCGACAAAAGCGGCCAACTCTATCATGAACATGGGGCTCAACATGCCCGTGGGATTCAGCCGGCGGAGGCACGGCCGTGGCGGCCTTGGAATCAATGAGGAGATGTCAAAGGTAACGATTGGTGCATGTGCTCCATGCAGGGTCTGCTTTTGCTTGCTGCAAGCTGCAAGCGAATGCCCCAAGAATCTTCGTGTGACCTGTGTCGACTCTTTCATTATTCAAAGGAAACGCGGGCTGTTCGGGTTCACCATCTTGCATCCGCCCAAGTCACCGAACGTCCGAACGTAAAAAATTACGCTTCATCGAGGCCTTTTCCCGCAGTCCTCAAGAAGAAAAAAATTCGTACACATTTATGTACATCTCGACATGCTCCCGCCTGGATCGGACACGAGTCTCGCGAACACCACAGTGTGGTCGCTGCTCCTCGAAAGAGAACCTTGATCGTCGTTGGTCACCGTGATTGAGATAAGGCTTCACGCGGGCTCGCGAGATCGCCCATTGACGAGGACTGATTCACGACACCGCAAGCTCTGTTGTGCTGTATTGCGATCAGCGCGGTTCTCTCTCGGAGCGATGCCACGCTCCACCACGGCCCAACAGCACACTCTTCTCACGGTTCACCATCTTTTTTCTTTTCTTAGGCGATCCGTGTGCGGTGATCAAGGAGTTGGCAGTGGTCAGCTGAGGCGATTCGCACCCCTCGATGCGCTTTTATAGCTCAGCTCGTATTGCTTCTGGGCTCTAGCGACCAAGAGTTTACACTGGACTGACATCACCATAGTTGTGGTCACGGCGACCGCAAATTTTCGAGAAGCAAATCTACAAAGACAGCACTGAGTGCTTGATCGCGCTTTGATGGTGAACGACGGTCCGATGGGGTCACACGTTGACCTCTTGTGTCCGCTGGATCCTCAGGCAATCCCGCAGCTCATAAAGCAAATCGCAACAGCAAACTAACACATACGGACATGGGTCAAGAAAAATCAGCCATCTCATCCGCTGGTATACAGTATACAAGTTGTGGACCGGCCAACTAGTCAAGCAGGTGACCGCTGGTGAATCTCAGCTGTTGTACTCGTATGTTATTGCATTTTTGATGCTCTTTTCTTTTTGTTCGAAGTCTCATGATGCATTACATTACTGCCAAGGCTATGGCATTGGTGGAGTAAGCAACCACAGTGGCTTCAAATATGCAACAACAGGCTGTCTTTTTGAGGAATGCAATGTCTTGGGTTGTCGGCGGGTCAACGGATGCGGTAGTGGCACTGCATGGTAAGATGGTAGAGACAGACAACGCGGAAAAGCAACGCTCAGTCAACCTTCCTTGCCAGCCACGAATTTTCATCGGATTCGGATTGCTTTTTTCTCTTTTCTTTTTCTCTTCACTTTCTCTTTCCTCGTCCTCTCACTACTTTCATCTCGGCCCCGAGTCTTGTGCGCCACAAAAAGTCTTCGTGCGCACGCACCCACATTCGACCCGCACCACGACACAAAGGAGCGAAAAAAATGATCTCGCGAGTCGCCAGCGAGCAAAAAAGATTACAGACAACTGCCGCTGCTGCCTCCAGTCGGAGTCGAACCGACGGCCTCGACATTACTAGTGTCGCGCTCTACCACTGCTTCAGAGGATGTTAGTTTTGTGTGATTGGAGTGTGAGGGATGAAATGAGAACGTACAGCTATAGAGGCTTAGTAAGCTTGGAATTTGTACTGGCAAACATGTCTTATAAATAGTTGAGCAGCTAATAGAGCATTGTAAGTGTTCTTGGTAGGTTGCGGTGTGGCGAATGTGCACGAAAACGACTGTGTAAGGGGCATAAAGGACAGCGGATGCAGCCTTGACGCTTGGGGTCAGTGCGCGAGGAGAATGCGGAGAAGCATGAGCCTAGAGCGAGACAAAGGTTCAGAAACGGTTCAGGGTCATCTCTTTGGTAGAACAAGATCATGTGCCGTAGAAACTGATTCCGTCCTACAGGAGCAACTGTTTGTGTCTTCCCAGGCAACCATCTGCTCTGATTGTGGAAGGTAAAATGCATCTGTAGCCCGAGGCATTCTTCTCCACGAAAGCGAAGCACTGTCTGCCCAAGACATGATTCGACCGGTGGACCGCTTCACACTGGAAGAGAATCGCATGTCATCTTCATGCCAGGTTTTTTTGTGAACAACGGTGTGGTACGGCCGCAAGCGGAAATTGGTCTTTGGTATGCTGAATGCGGCCACGACTTACCATAATGGGTGTGGAGCTCAACACAATACTTGGGTACCATCGCGCATTGCCAAATAGTCAGCCGCAAAGCTTATAAGAGCACACGTCGAATGTAACTGTGTAAGCGCTAGAGTAAAGCGTGCTCTTGGCCAAGCGTGAGAAGATGGTGAAGACGTCAGGGCGGATTGCGCCATCTCGCGCAACCTCCGAAGTCCGCCAATGTGAGGACGCGCGGATGGCGCCATCGTGCGGCTGAGTATATAAGAACGGACCGCCCGGGACCGCACCTCTTGTTTCGATTCCGCTATTTTCTTGCGCTGGCCGTTGAAATTTGCTATCTATTTACAAAAATGCTCATCGTCACGCTTACTCCAGCTAGGTCCTCGTTCAAACAACGCGCTTCCTGGCGAAGAACAGAGCCACGCCCACAACCATCAACGGCACAGAAATCTTTGCCGCTCTCGAGACGACCTTAGCCGCTGCGTCGGTGAGCATGCGGCGTCTGGCAACATGCATGTTCTGTGTGTCGTTGACGCGGGGGAACGGCTCCTCCGGCACCGGCTTCTCCAAAAACTCGCACAGGCGTTCCCAGCCCTCGCCAACGCGGTATTCAAGCAGGCGATCGGCAGGCACGAGAGAGCGGATGAGCTCGTTTTGACGCCTGAAGCCCGCCTTGTTGGTCTTCTCCTCGGGGTACGCGGGTCCGCCGAAGAAGCCCTCCCATAGCCTCGGTGCCATGCCCATGAAGCGCCCCAGGAACTCCGGCTCGACCTTCGACAGCATCCACAGCGGCCATGACCGCATCTGCGCGCCAATGGTCGCGTCCACCGATTTGAACCATGCGTCCTCGTCGCGCAGCGTCAGCACCACCTTGGCCTCAGGGTACGCCGCGATGAGGTCGTCGGCAAAGGCCGCAGGCGGAAAATCCGTCACAACCTGAATGGTGCAACATCAGCATCAACTGCGCTAGTCCATCTGATTGACCTTCTGTCTGTCACTCACCTTACAGTGACCCAGCAATTGGTCCCATTCCTCGCGTCCGTACGGCTTGCCTTTGCCGAACCATTTTGCGTCGGCGGCCTCACGCCACATGTCGCAGTCATATGGGTTTTCGAAGCACGAGATCATATGGTAGACGCCTTCATAGCCCAGCTTCTCGAACGCCGTCACCATTGACAGCGTGCCCGTTCGCGGCATTCCCACGACAATGACCTCCATGGGCACGGTACGCTTAGCCCCGCGCCGCGACACCCACGTTTCGGGGTTGTTGCCGTTGAACATGCGTTCTTGAGGTGGCAAGGGCGTTACTGGAGCCATGATTGGTAGTATCGTCTGTGTCTTTCTTTTTATAGTCTCGTCCCGTTCCTTTTTGTCGATGTCGTCCCTCCGCTGGTAGGGAGTAGGATGGAAATAAAGTACCAAGCACAAAAGAGCGAACCTCACCATAAAAAGAAGACGACCTCCTGCACTCGGCCGCCACCTGCTCCTCCGGTCCACGCGAGAGCAGGCCGAGGCCAGCCCCCTTGACTAACCAATCACCCCACAGCGCCGGCCTCTCTCCCCGCCGATCGCTGACTCGCAGCGCCGAGCACCACCAGCAACTACAGGCATCCTGCGGCGCATATCTAGGCAAAACTGGCAAATTACGGGCAATTAGACCTGCCAGATCCGTAGCAGCAAGATCCCGGGATTCCCTTTCTCCCAACCCAAGGTGTCCAAGATTGCGAGGTGAGGCTCGATTGGACCGCGCCGGGCTCGGCACCTCGGACGGCACTGGAGCGCGGTCCACGGAAATCGGTCTTTGCCAGGAGCCGACGGCATCCGACTCAAATGGGTGTCCCGCAACGTCTCGTACGACAGGGAGATTGCATGAGGAGCGGCTGTTAAGAAGTTGAGAAAGAGCGAGGTATCGTATCGTTGCAGGCACAATAGCTCATGGTTTCTACGCAGTTGAAGCCAATGCGAGCGGGTGCTTGTGCGATGGACATGTCCTGACAGCTTGTTCTACATGCCGCGCATCGAACTGATAGTGGTTAACACCCAGAAGAGAGTCCAACCTGAAAATAAAGACGAGCTTTGGCTGACGACCTTTGTCAAGTTTTTCCCACACAAGCTAGACAAGTACCCCGCCTACAGATACGGTCCCGGGCCGTCCCGTCGACGGCCCTTTCGCAGCCTCGGCTCTATATTTGCAGGGCTGATCTAATTTGCAGCGCCGAATGGACAAATTCTGTCTTGAAATTTTGACCCTTCTGTCCTCCTTACATCATAGGCATAGAAAGCAATCATAATTGGCTCTTCTTACCATTTGTATCAATATACTCGACTACTCCGCGTCCCGAAATATACGCGCTTCAGGTCTTATTCCACACTTGAAGCATAATGACCAAGTGTACTAAGTATACCTGAGCGCAGACGGATCTGACTACCATAGATCAAAGGCATACACTACTGTCGGCGCTATAGAGTGTCTGTCGGAGTGGGAAGAGGTAAGGCATTGTGAGATTTTCGCTAGGTTTCTTTAAAATGCTAACTCTCAACAGGACCACATTGCTAGTCTCATGCCGGGACAGGAGTAAGATCGAGGCTAGCGTAAGTCATAATCATGGGAAGGCAAAAGAAAATACACCATGTGTTTGATTTATAAATTAGCCTTTTCGGACATTTCATTCAGTAATTATTGAAGCAAAGGTTATACAGTTCAGAATTCGTTCCAGTCAACCTCCCGTTCTTGAACACCAGCCAGCCTTCTTGTCTTTATTCCATCATACAACCTGTTACATCGTTTCTCTTTCATTACTCATGGCAAGATGTTTACAACCACGAGACTTAGTTGGTGGGAGCTGAGACCTCTGACACGGGGATGATGATCGGAGAAGGCTTGGTGCCGGCAAAGATACCGTCCAAGTTGCACTTGATGCCGGTAAGAGGAGCGCCACCGACACAAGTGAGGTAAGCACCTCCAGCATTGGCGGTGATGTCAACATTTCCAGTGTAAGCAGACCTACGTTCGCGTCAGCTCAGATCTCACGCACGAGTTATGGTCAACTTACGTGGCAGAAACCTGATTCTTCACACTAAGGACGAAGTTGGCCTCGCTGGTGAACTCATCAAACTTCCAGGAGACAGCATTGTCCTTGCAGGAATTCCATCCCGTCAGCGGCTGGTGTTCGACCCAGCTGCCATCACAAGTGGTGCTCAGTGTGCTGTCGTTGTCCAAGTCGGGGTAGTTGAGGGTGAAGGACAAAGTGCTGTTGAACTTGGAGCTCTCAGGCCATCCACCCGGGATACCGCTGTCCCTGCCCATGAAGTGGACGTTCATGACCGGGATCTCGTACTGAGTAGGCGAGACAGCACGAGGGTGGACAGGGGCAGCCAGCGCCAGGAGAGGCAAGACGGCAGTGAGGAAAAGAGTGGTGAAATGCATGTTGGAAGTTTAGGTCGGTAGAGGAAGATACTGATCGTCAGGTTGTAGGTTTGAATGGAGAGATGGAGAAGAGAAAGAGGCGGAATATATATAGGCGAGTACACGGAGACTGGATGAGAAGGAGCGAACGAATGGTTATGGCGGTCACGCTCCGCAGCATCGTCGTGCCTTCCTCACGTCCCATTCGAGCAACGATACGACTTATGACAGCCGGGCACCTGAGTGCTGTACGGGCCGTAACCCACCACTTATCGCGAGACCCGCCTAACACGAATTATCAAGGGTTGCATTGGCTTGTTGACTCTATCAGCCCCCAATACCTTGTCGATCTCCCGCCACATGGTTGGTGCCGATCCTATAAAAAACCTCCGCAGAAAGACTACGTCTTTTGATATGTTTCCGCCCTCGTGTCGCCTTCCGAATCTGACCTCAGCCGCTCGTTCACGCCTTGAGTCTTACTATCTCGTGCTGCACTGCCTTCTCCCTTGCTTAGAGAAACGTCGTACCGCTTTGTCATCGGAAGAGTCCGGGTCCCAATTCTTCCCAACTCCTCGCTCCTATCCGAAAGCCGAGCATCACCGAGCTGGTGAAGCGGTGACCGTGGCTGACTAAAGTTGATGGAGTTTGTTCGGATTCGCATGTGATCGTACCTTTAGTTTTAACTCAAGCCATGGCCGCTCGCTGTCACCATCTCGAGTCATTATCTCGAGTCACTATCTCAAGCTCCTATCTCAATTCACCGCCTCAAACCGGACGGAAATCATCACCAATTCAACAAATATCCACTTATCTCAAGACTCATGCGACACCTGGACGCCAAAGTAACGCCACCGTGACTTTACGCAAAGTTGCTCTTGCAAGAATCCGAAAATCAAGTCAAGATTGGTCACATCTCTTAGATTTCTTTAAGCGTCCAAATTATCGATTATACTTAGTAACTAAATAATAACCATGTAGGAATGGCCATCATTTTCCAACGCTTAGGAGTCAAGGGTGACCTTGAGGTCATCAACCTGGGAGCAGACGAAGTCATTCTGGCCGTTACCGCCAGCGTGGCAGTAGACAGGAGCCTTGGCGGAGCCGGTGCGGCCAGCGCTGTTGCAAACGACTTATCAGTGTCTTGTTCAGACGTATTTCTTCGGGTATGACACTTACGCAAGACCAGTCTCGTGGTAGAGAGTGAGCTTGTAGTCGCTGTTGGAGCCCGTGACGGTGAAGCGGTACTTGGACTCGCCGCAAGTGACGACGTTGCCGTTTGTGAAGTCATTGCCGGAGCACTTGACGTTGGGCTCCTGGAGGGAGAACTCGGCCATCTGGATACCGTTGTTGTCACGGATGGTCAGGTCCTTGACGGTGACGGTCTCCTGGTCGGCGAAGGCGAGGGCGCCGAAGACGGCAGGAACGGCAACGGCGAAGAAACGCATGTTGAGAGAGAGGTGGTTTGGAGATGTTTTGAGTTGGAGAATTGAGCTGATGGCGAGAGAGTAGTGTATAACGACGTCCTTATATATCTGTCTTAGACATCGCCTCCTTAACGTTGACACCAAACCACTAACTTCCCCGCCCAAGAATTTACGTACATCCGAGGTGCTGTATACGAGGTACGCCAGGTGGAACAAAACCTGGCAAAGCTGCAGTGTTCCAAATCTCCGGGACTCCAGCCGCACTAAGCGTCATGGCCTGTCGGAGAACACGAGCTCCCGTCCTTCCCCTCGCCCCAATGGGGCCGGCGAACGTCGGCGACAGCTGCCATTACAAGCGCGAAAGGATGAATAACTCTAAGCGGCAGCTCTAAATTTGGCACAGCAAGCCGTAGTGGGTCAGTCTCCGCACCCGCCGTCCCCAGCCGCTGACGTCGGGCCAGGCCTTCCGTGGAGTCGTGCACCTTGAGCCTCATCAACACGGAACCCTGGCGCGATCCTGTCACGATCGATCGAGTCAACGGCAATGCCCTCATTCTTCGAACACGTGTTCCAACTTTCCCTCGTGCAATCGCCAGAGTGTGTAGCCTTCCATAGCTACAGTCAAGACCTTTGGACAGGCAGGAAACAGACACATTGTCATATGCAAGGTACCGTGGCGTGAACACTGCGTCTGACCAGCATAGCCTTGTGGACTGCGGCGCTTCGTATCTCCCCTTGGCCCCGCCGGCCTTGGCGCCTCTCGACCTCGGCTGGTGCTGCGGCGCATTGGAACGAGTACATTCGCCAAGATGCTGTCAGCCACATGAAACTGAGGAAAGCAAACTGGACCGTGGTAGACGAGCGGTGCGGTGGTGATCGGGATAGGCGAACCTGAGGCTATGAGATATCATCTCAAGGAGATCATAATAAAATCCAGGATGCCTTAAGGCACCTACCCATTCGACAAAAAAAAAAGGGAAGAAAGGAAACGGAAAGCACAGTATCATTCGATGCCTGTGTCCCTTGGTTGCCGACTCGCTCGCAAATCGTGGCCGATGCGCACACTCACCCCGCCGCGGGCTCCTGGCAATGACAACACGAGCACCTCGTCCCAGGCATGAAGATCACGGGTGGGGCTCGAACACAGCACGGCCCTGCGCATGGAGGATTCTGGAAAACTACATACTGCCCCTTCCAGAAGCGGTGCCAACATTTTGTGGCCAGACCACTCCGTTCACCGCCAGGCGCTTTGATATGTCAATGCCGCCACACCGCGACGTGTCAACACCGTCTCAGCCCAGTCCATGCTTCTGGCCTCGTGGAGTGAACGAGATGTTAATGAGATGTTTTCCGAATCTCCGGGAAGCTCATGACTGAAAAGTCCTTCAGACATTCCATCACCTCTGAGAACGCTTCCGTTTCCAAATTCTCACAGTTCAGTGATGGCTTCTAACCTTCCAGCCCGCTGAATTTAACGCTATTTCCTATTGTACGACAAACACCATCATCATCACAACCATTACGACCTTTCGCTCACAATCTACGTGACCGGGCTTCCAAGCCCGTTCTCACACTTCAGGCTCGTCGTCGAGCAAGCCAATTTCAAGCCACCGGAGCTATTACCGATCCAAACCTTGTACTCTCCCTTGACATCAGGAATAATCCAGTTCTGACTCACAACATCCCACACGCTAATATCCTTGCGCGTCAACGTAAGATCGAGGGTCTGGCTCTCTCCGGATGCTAGGTTGCGCGTCTTATCAAAGTCCCGCAGCTGGATTACCGGCGTCTCATACTCAATGTCGGCGGGGAATTGGACATATGCTTGTGCGACGCCCTTACCCGTTGCCTTGCCTGTGTTGGTGACCGTGACCGTTAACTTAAAGGCCGTGTCCCACAGGGCTGGGTTGCCGCCTTGAGCACCACCTGCTGGAGGGCCGGCCTTTTGCTCCGTACTGTAGCCATCCGGGTATGGGTAGGTGGTTGTGTTTGCCTTCTTAGCAGCTGAATCGGCTTCATTCTTCGGAAGGTACGAGTAAATGTATCGCCAAATCTTGTTGAAGTTGTCGGGGTAGTAGGCCTCGGATGCTGGTGGAATGTCTGTCGAGTAGGAAGGTGTCTTGCCTTTGGGAGAACGCGGAGGCGGAACCGACGTTAGTTCGATGCCAGAGGCAATGGTAGCATTCAAGGAGAATGTGGTGTAGCTAAGACCGTGTCCGAAAGGATAGCGAGGGGTCTTGTTTTGGGCATTCAGGTAACGATAGTCGATAAACAAGCCTTCGGAAAACGTATCTTGAGGCTGCCCCAGCTCGAAGCCTTTGATATTAACGCTCTCCGGAAGGTCGTCCTCGCTATACGGAATGCTGTACGGCAAATGTCCACTAGGTGAAGTATCGCCGAAGAGTACATCGGTCAAAGATTCTCCTGCTTCTTGTCCAGGCAGGTGCGCAAACAAGACAGCTTTGACCGAAGGCAAGTCGATCCACTCTTCGAGTAGAATCGGTCCAACAGTGTGCGTGATAACAACCACCTTATCATACTTGTCGGCTGCTTCTTGGACCAATTTATCTCCGTTCTTCCAAGCGTGCAGATCAGAACTTGTTCGGTCTCCAGGGTTCCCGTCCACGCTCAAGTAATTCTCTCCGGAATCAGCGTTGATGAATACGAGTGCAACGTCGCCTTCTTCTACCACAGCGTTGGAGGGGAAATCATCGGTCAGGTATGGGGTGACATTCTTTGCCCTTCCCGTGATTGCAGTAATGGGATCGTCAAGGTAAGGATAGCTGGCTGTCCCACTACCCCAACCCATACCCAGTGTACCCTTGTCGCAGGCCTGGTCCGCGCACGAGTTGATTCCGTCGGGATTCTTCCGTGCGTCAGTCCCAAATACCTTCAGAGGAGTTGCCGTGCTGAGTGGCAATGTATTGTTTTCATTTTTAAGCATCGTAATAGCCTCCGTAGCAATCTGGCGTACAACCTTGGCATGATCATCCTGGACATTAACAAATTCATTCACCACCCCAGATGGAGAAACGAGTGCACCAGGATGCAACAACCCTTCAGCATTCGAACTCCACGTGGAGAAGTTCGGATCCGGGTAATCCTTGTCCTGACCCATCTGGTACCAAGTGGCGACAATGCGGGTGGCCATGTCGTTCAGTCGATCCACAGGCACAGAGCCGTTAAGCACGGCTTCTGTGAGATGGAAAGCCCACCAAGCATTTCCAAACAGAGGGATAGTAGGGTCTCCAGGGAGTGACGCATCCAGTCCAGCGAGCGCGGCGGAGACACCGCCTATCTGCGCGAGCCAATCACTCATGATGAAACCCTGGAATCCAAGCTCGTCTTTCAGGATATTGTTGATGAGGTAGCTGTTTTGAGTGCAAGCCGACCCATTGACAGCGTTGTAAGCAGCCATGACAGACCCGACACCTGCACGTACTCCTTCTGCAAAGGGCCATAGGTAGAGCTCATGGAGAGTTCGGTCATCGATGTTCGCACTGTATCCAGGTTGGAACGGATTATACATGCGGAACATCTCTTGCTCGTTAGCGATCAAGTGCTTGATAGTAGCAATGACACCCTGGTCCTGGACACCTTTGATTGTCTGGGCGCCGCCGACGGCCTGGAGGACCGGATCGGCTCCAAAACCCTCCCAGTTACGGCCGCCTCGTGGTTTTCGTCCCATGGGTCCTACGGTAGGGCCAAGATGGACATTTATGCCTTTTCCGCGGAACTCGGCACCAAGGGCGGCACCGCGGTCATACATGAGTTGCTTGTTCCATGTCGCCCCAACGGTTATGCCAGGCGGGAAGGCGGTGATGTTTTCGGTACCCTTGATTCCAAGAGCAGAATCCTGGAGACAGATTTGGGGAAACCCCAGCCGGTGGACACTTCCAGTGTTGCCTATACAGCGGTCTAAGAAAGAGGTCAGTAGCCCCTGGAATCTGCCGGGGGGAAGTTGGTGTTACCCATAAAGTAACCCGTGCCGCATGTGATGTTAGTCTTCTCAGCCAACGTCATTTTGGCCACGAGCTCTTCTGCCTTAGCGTAGCTGTCGCTCCAGTCGGATACCCAGCCGCCGTAGGGCGCTGGGTAGTAAGGCGTGGCTTCGTATTCATTGGGCACGGCCAGCCTCTTTCCCACCGTGATGTTGCCGATATCAACATGAGCGTTCCTGAGCCAGAATAACAGTCTGGGGTCAGTAATCTCGGTGGTTGAGGCCAGAGAAGGGAAATAAAAGAGGGATAGAACAAGTGGTTGTGCGAGCACTGCGCAGGCCAAAGAGGGTGACATGGTGGGTCAGGCGCGCGAAATGACACGAGAGAGAATAGACATGAGGCCAGGCGACCGGCTTCCTTTATACTTGACCTGGCGAAGCGATTGTGAGTGGTCGTGCTGGCGCACCTAGATTGACCTCTCGACCCGGGCCATCGCCTAAAAATTCCCCTGTAGATCACAACCGTAACCCCAGTCCTAGATGATAGCCGAAGCAGTCGCAGGGATTGTGCAAAGATCGCCGACGGGATTTATTCCAAAAAGACGTAGGATAGGCCGGGAGGCAATCTCGCTATGCTCATCACGCTCCAATGGGAAATGGATCTGAGTCATGCCGGGCTGGAGAACTCGCGTCCTCTCCCACGCGGCTCTGCAACAGTGGGAAGACAACTGCATTGTTGCGTTGGCAAATGTCTCGTGCCGTCGGGACGTCGCTTGTTTTGGGAGACATGGGAGGACAGAGGCCTGAGGTTGACCGGGGTTCAAAAATTCTCCGTGGCCGTAGCGAGAAAAGCGCGCATCTACAGTACGAGTACGACCATCGACCTTTTTGGTCTCGTGCCACTCGCGCCCATATCCGGAAAAGCATATCCCTACCTAGGTACTAGGGCTGTTTGGATGTCTATCGCATGCGCTCAACCGGCATATCCGGGCAGCAAAAGCATACCGCCAAGCCTCGAGTTCAGCTCCATACAATTTACAATGCGGCCCGCATATCCTAGCATCCATCCGCTCCGTGAGCAACCGAGGCGCCAAGTACAGTTGCTTTGCCGTCGATTAGCTGTCGTAGTTAATCATTTTATGCTTCCCTCTTCTTTTAGCTAATTCAAAAACGGAAACACAACCAACTTACTCCGCATCGTAGCAAGATGTTTGATACAGAGTGGAACCAAAAACTAGTTAAGATATTTACAGTGTGTATTCGTTCCAAGGCCTTCTTATTTATATACCCTATGAAACACTCCCTGTCTAGCTATGAGCTTACAGTGACGTGCCCTAAGTATTCGTGCCACCCCTGTTTTACACCAAAACTCGTCCTCTTCGCACGTATTTTACAACTACCCAACCTTGCTGCATCTCTTTAAAATTTTCTAGGTTAGTAGAAAATTGGTTAAACTATTACTCTACTAATTCAGAACTTTTTTTTAAGTCTCTAAGTTTAAGAAATTTCAGTATAAAATCTAGTACTCTTAAAATTCGGCAAATTTATATGGAAAACCGCCGAATTCTTACTTACCTCTACTTTATACCTAAAAATCTTCTTTTTCTAAATTATCTTTTTATAAGAAATCTTAGAATAATTTAGGGCATGCGATTTTCTCTAACTTGTATAAGTTTCAAGTATTTTTATAAGCTCCTTGGTTGTGAAATTGCTCACTGCGTAAGGCGAGTTTTGGTGTAAAACAGGGGTGGCACGAATACTTAGGGCCTAGTACTATATATCACTAGGCGGTGAATCACTTAACGGTGAGAAATGTTAGCCTATCTTGTCTGGTTTTAAAATTTCTTTAGAGAATTTAATTTGACTTGTGACTTTATTGATTCATGTTACACCGATACTATCGACTGATGTTGGTTTAAGTATTCACGGTGAGACTCGGTAGTCGGGCCGGTAATCGGAGGTGGTTCACCCTACATACGCACCAAAGAACAAATATAGCAATGCTGGATAACCGAGTGTAGACGGATGTAACAGTAATACAAGTAACAGCAATCTTAACCTTTAACGTCTATCATCCTCAAGCGAGATTCTCGTCTAACGAGATAACGAGATGACGCTTGTACCGAGTGGAAGAAGAAATCTATTAAAAGTGTTTGTAGTATGTGGGTACTCTAAGATATTCTTACTTGTATCCAGAATTTAGACCTGTAGTTAGACAAGGAGTAATCCGTAGGGGCTGCTTGTATAGTTCTCTGTCGTGTCTGCCTAGCTAGATGATAAATCTGGGTTGATGATGACGGACGTAATTATTCTCATTATTTATTTTAAATTTTATTTCACTTCATTTTATTTTCTTTTGATTTTATCTTTTTTATTCTTTAAGCTCTTAAGAGTGTAGTAGTCGCGGTGTTCACTAGTTTACCACATAAGTAGTCGTAGCTAGAGCTTCACCATATGGAACATCTTTTTACTTATAGGTCTTATTTATGTTTACATTTAAGAACTATCTAATACGTATGGTTCGCTTTGTAGGTATTTTATTGATCGATTCCCAGTCAAGTTTGTTGCGTTTACTCGGCTGTAGCATCAAAAGTTGGGCTTTTCAATGCTTAGTAGCAATAAGTTCGGTCCGTAATACGTTTCCCAGATTTCGAGGAGCCGAGGAGTGTATTCACATCTTTCTGCTTCTATGCTTTATTGGAGCGGCTTCTTGTAGAATGAATGTGTCCTCGGCTGGGTTAACTACTGTTATCATCTTTTTCAATCTAAAGTTTGGGTAGTGCAAAGATAAGTGATGATCCGAACAACAACTCGTTTCCCATTGTCCCAAGGAATCGGCTGATCATGAAGTCAGGAATCTCATTCATTGTTTTTCTTGTTATTTTTACTCGGGTTGGGACGGGAATGAGCAGATTATGGTATCAAATCGGGAAACGCACCTTTCATTCACCTTCAGTTCATCCATAACACTCGCCATTTCGCTAAAGATTAACAGGTTACAGGCAAGGTCTATACTTAAAAAGTTCTCGTGGCTTCATTCTCATTCTACCGCACAACCTTAAGTCGTATTTCCGGTTGCTGGTCTAAAACAACTCGCATTATATCCAGAGCTCCTCCGTGCGCAAGCTTTCGTATCATTCCTCGTCCCCCAATATTTTGCGTATATAACACGATTATATTCGCACTGTGTTGACCGACATAGACAATCAAGTCCGCATACAGCCAACTGACTGGTCCAACGGAATTATGGACAACTTCGAGAGACAGCACCGGGACTATCAGCAACGCCAACCTCTTGACGGCAAGTACTAGCCATCGCCATGGAATGTTGACGATCTGTACGAGCAGCCTCTTGACTTTGGATCACCCCTTTTACTGTGGAATAGTATGCCAATGTGTCTGCTGGATACGCAATCCGTATATGGGTCTTTTCGAACGCTTGTAGATTCACTCCAGGCGAGGGAGGGCAAGTTACTGTCACCAAGGGACACAGCCAAGTATCATTCCGTCTAGCAGATTCGATTCACCGACGAGGTCCTACGCTGTCGAGCTCATCCGCACAAATACTTTGACATTGCAAAGTTACTTTATGATGAGCTGACTACCTCTTGGAGACCGTCTTCCCACCCTAAGCTGGTAATCAACGGAGACACTTTTACTGAGAGATACTCAAGAACCACGACAGTTGAAATTGGTAACCGGCTGTCTGGAAATGCACAATTGACACCTTACCCTGCCCAGACACTGCAACAGACTTCAAGGGTACTATCAGTGCGCTAAGAACTCCGATGACGATGATACCACAAGCATCACAACCTACTCAAGATCGCCTTACAACTTTCGGTACGCAGCTGCCCCACGTGCCCAGACCCCTACCTCAGTATGTGGTGACAGATGAACTATCGTTTCGGACTTCGATCTATTCACTGCACTTCACCCAAGCACGAGAATCGTCAGATCAACTCGCCAAAGCTTACCGCAGTCGCATCTTCAGGAGAAGACTCAGTCATTTATTCAGTATGGGCCTCTGTCGCTCGCTCAAGACGAGCCGCAGTCGCCGCCTCGGAACGCGTCCTAGCCATCGACATCGGCAGGGAATCTTCTCCAAGGATTCATTCGAAGTAATGACAAACTGTATAATCGCCTCTACAGTGCCGCTCCTACAGACATCGGATTCCCAAGTGGCAAATGGAACTGTGCCGCGATGGAGATGTTGACCTACTTGCCTAGTGTCAGTTTTTGCTTGCAACCCTAATGTGTGCTTATCCCTTGTCAACCACGGCTGGCGGTCGAAGACGATGACCAAGGTGATTAACGATCGCTATGGTATCGAATCCCCGAAAACACGATTAGGAAGGTCATTCATCGTGCTGCCAAGGATAAGCAGCCTCGGGAGTGGAATCAGCGCAACGACTCCCTCGTGCAGCAGGCACCGCTGAACATGTCTGACGTAAAATCCTTGGGTTCAAAGTCGGTACCATTTTGGACACTTGCAAATGGCGTAACGCAGCATCCGGCGGGCCTTGACACGCTCGACCTCGCGCGTTGTGTGTTGTACGCGTTGCGGCACAATAATGATTGGGTATGGGGTTTTCCTGGAGACTACCAAGAGACCTTGAATCTGGTTGGTGGACCGGGAGCAGTGTTATCGGGCATGGTGTATGTTTATGCTTCGTCGCGGGAGCTGCAGAAAGGTCGAGGTGGATATTCTTTTTGTACGTTGTAATAAGAATGTTTGTTCTGTATGCCGAAGCCGAGGCCAGGCCCCAGCTCGCTCCACCTAAGCTCCATAGTTCATCGCAACACAACCAACCAACCTACAACGTACCACTGCACCCCGCGCGGGGGCATCAGCATGCCCTACTTCGCCTTTACCGCCACGCGCGTGCAGGTCGCTACGTACCTGCTGGCTGTCGCGCTCTTCAGCATTTCCTTCCTCGTCTTCCTCAACAGCTCTCTCTCCTTCGTCATCACCGAGCGCATCGGCCGGAGCCATGACGTCGGCGACGCCGTGGGCACCTTGGGCTTCGCCGACGAGCTGGTTGCCCTTGTCGCCTGCCCGGCCTGGGGCATGGTTAGTGACAGGATTGGCGTGGCCAAAGTCGCGACTGTGGGCTATGCCATCGTGGCGTTGAGCCTGCTTCTGTTTGTGCAGGCCACCAATGTCTACCCGCAGCTGCTGCTTGGCCGCTTGCTCTTCGCGGTCGGCGCGTCTGCCACGTAAGGCTCCTATCCTACCCACTCCTCTGCGTGCATTGCCGCTCACCCGCCTGGCAGCACCACCATGGTCACGGCCGTCTTGCCTGCCATGACCCACGTCGCTTCGTCCAACCCGCTCACCAGCGGCGCCAATGCCTCCCGACATGCAACTGCGCCCTCGATTTCCTCCGAACTCACCATCACCCCTACGCGCTTCCGCTCTTCCTCGCCCGAGCCTGTCGCGCGCGCCTCGGCTGCATCAACCTCAAACCTAGCTGGGCTCGTAGGCATGTTCACTGGCTTCGGCGCGCTGCTGGCCTTGGCTGTTTTTTTGCCTCTACCTACACGCTTCCAGAAAAGCGGCGCTGCGCCAAGCGTCGCCGTGGCAAATGCCTACTACGTTGTGGCTATGGTAGCTTTGGTCGTAGCCATTGTGTGCATGTTTGGTTTACGGGGGCTGCCAGGCGAAGAGTCCAAGGGCTGGCGCAACCTTTTCCACGTCAAGACCAGCGATCTCACGGCATCTGTAATCCATCCTACCCTGTCATATCCGCGCCTCCTCGCCAATGCCTTAAAATTGGGGTTTCAGGATATAAATGTCGGCCTTGGTTATCTTGGTGGGTTTGTTGCGCGCGCCTCTTCCGTCGCCATATCGCTCTTCATTCCGCTTTTCGCCAATGCCTATTTCATTAACCGGGGCTTGTGCCGTCCCGGTGACGACAAATCCAACGAAGACATCAAAAATGCTTGCCGTCGCGCATATGTGCTCGCGGCAATTTTGACAGGAACTTCACAGCTTATTGCCCTCATATGCGCTCCAGTATTCGGATACCTTTCCGGAAGGTATAGCAAGTACAACGAACCTCTGATATTGGCTTCAGTAGCAGGGATCGCTGGATATATCGCGTTCGGTCTGCTCAAAAGCCCTGATCCGTCTTCGGACGATGGCAGCGTGGGCGTCTTCTTCATCGTTGTATTGCTTGGTATCAGCCAGATTGGAGCAATTGTCTGCAGTCTTGGCCTGCTGGGCCGCGGTATCCAGGGCAGCGAGACTGAATCAGGGTTCGAGGAACAAACCGAGGATAGCGCTCCCGCTCGGGCTTCTCCTGCCACACGAATCCACGCGCAGGCGCCAGCCGCAACGGGCATTAGGGATGGTTATCTTGATGCAGAGAGGACGCCCACTGCAGGTACTCCGTCTGTAGCAACAGCCTCTCTCCGCGATCCGATGCAAGAGCCTCAAGCCACAGAATCTTCTCCGCTTCTACCTTCGCATTTCCGCCAACCGCCTTCTTCTACTGATCCGTCCTCCCGCTCTCATCTTAAAGGTAGCATAGCGGGCGTCTATAGCCTAGCCGGTGGAGCCGGTATTCTTATCCTGACCAAGGTCGGGGGTGTTATGTTCGATCGCCTGGATGCTGGTGCGCCGTTCTTCCTCATGGCCGGCTTCAACAGTTTATTGCTTCTTGCGGCCGTTTTAAGCGGGTTGGGGAAGATGACCAGGGAGAGGAGAAAGGGCGTTGGATTGTAAGTTGGTGAAGCTCTTTTTTGTAGGATCAAATGTACCGTTCACGGAAATTTATTTGGCATTGCTGTATACTTGGCCGCAATACTTCGGCGCAGACGCTAAAAGAACAGTCTCTTTCGGTTATCGAGCCTTGGTTTTCTTGATAGTTTTGGACATGGTCAGTAGTGATATCCAAACAACAGTAAAGGTGCACGGATTTGTTTTCTGTCAGCAGGTCAAAGTGCGGAACAAATGCTGACATTCGGTGGAAGAAGCTGATTATCGACTTTGACCTGGCCGCCTGGGCTCAATTACGTAGCCTGAGCACCGGGTATTTTGTGTTCGTATCACCAGGATACGCGGATCCGTCACCTTGGTCTACCCGGGCAATTATTGTCCATGGGCCCCACCGGACTCCACTAACGTCTTGGATTCCTAGCCGTGCTACGTGGTGTTGCAATCGGGCTCTCGTCGATCACTAGAGCTGCCAGCCAACGAGAAGTGGTCAACCGGGAACGCTTGATCGGGCTCAACGGTCTAGAGGATTTGCCATTCCTAATTTTCCGATCCAATCAACTTTCCGATGAGCGAGATAAGTGCAGTTCTCCGCGGAAAGTAACGGCGCGCATGCCGTGTCATATGGGGTGCATTTCTGAGGCTCTTGGACCCGAGCCTGGGCGCGAGGGCGAAGGCATGGCGTCGGCCTGGCCCCAACGGCTGTGTTGCGTTGGAGCGGGCACAGCGTCTCCGCGCCCAAAGCGATGTGAAGCATTGCGGGGTCGGGCCGACTTGGTCTCTGTTTGCGGAGGCGGACGATGTTCCGGCACCACAATCCAGTCGTACACACAACTCTATCCTGCGGCATGTCAGCGTCTGGCCATGCTGTGTCCGCTGGTTCAGAGAGGACGATGACGTTGAGCTAGAAAAATGACGCCTCGTATCTTGTGGTAAGCACCGATAGACGTGCTGCTGGCGTGACACAACCGCCGTCCAGCACGCCCGGAGATTAGTCCGTACTTGTTTCTGATAGGCGCGCGTGGCGGACGAGCTGCCCGAGCGGGTACAGCCGCTGTTGCATATTGTTGGAGCGGGTTGAAAGGGGGTCAAAGGAAAACGCTTCCCTTTTATCGAATTTTCCGGCGGAGCTGGCTCCGCCCCCGGAACCGCTGACCTAAGGCACAAGTGGGTCCTCTAGTCCAATCGAGCTTCATATCTATGCACTATGTACATTAAACCATGCCAACGGCCGTTATCCCGGCTGCCGGCTTGCAGCATTGCGAGATCCCAGTCCCTGCGGCGCGTGGTGTTGTGTCAGTCCTTGACAATGACGTTGTTCTGGTGGCGCCGACTTACACGATGCGGCCCGCCATTCACAATGACAGGCTCTGAAACTGGAGTTCTGTCCACGTCATAGCGGACTGAGAGTTCCATGCCCTTGTATTCGAATCCGTTGAGCCCTTCAATCGCCCGGTCAGCCTCCACGCTCGACCCGAATCTGACCGTCGCCGATCCCTTCTTGAGCTCGATCCGTAAAGGGTTGCCAGACTCGGCGAGCAGTTGTTTAAGCTCTGCCTCTGTAACTGTATACTTCAGTCCTCTAATGTGAATGCCACGCGCTTCAGTGCGCACAGCTCCGTTTCTGACATTCACCGGGATTCCAGCTTGAGAGTAGACGGGCGTTGCCGGCGGGTGCTGGAGATAGTATGCTGGCTGATGCACCATATGACTGGGCTGTGCGTGCATCATTGGCATCGGGCCGCTTGTCGCAGCAGTCATGGCCGGATAAGACTGAGACATTGTTGCGAAACCCGGCGGGACAGGCATATGCTCTGATTGGTAAAGAGCAGAGTTGACAAACTGGGCGGTAACTTGGGACTCCCTGTCAGAGTGCCTCGTGGCAGCCGGAAAGACAGCCGAGCAGTTGCAGCGAAGCAGGACAGGTTGCGTCTGCGAGGCGTCCCAATGGTGGACCAGTAGACGTCGGCCAGAATCCCTGAACTCAGGGAACTCGTGGTTGATGAGGAGGTCTGATTTTCCACTGATTACTACACGCAAAACTCAGCTGGAGGGTTGATACTCACGGTAAACATTCGCGGCATCCTCATCCGTCTTGACGCTAAAATAACCTTTGCGACCTTCTGTGCCGTAAGAGCCTTCATCCATCTCAGTCCAGCCCGGTTGGTTGATTGTGTAGTTGCGTACGAGGTCCTTCAAGGCGCGCCATGTGTAGTTGAATGGCAACTGGGCCGTCGTCAATGGCACATCACAATTGTGCTGGAAGCGAAAATTACATACCCCTGAGATAATGAAGAAATTCTTTTCTCTAGCACGTAGGGCTCCGGGATGCGAGAAGCCGGGCCGCATGGTGCAAGATACCCTCGCAATGCAAATCGGGAGCAACAGTGAAGGAAGCGTGGTAAGATGTAGCTACCCGTAAGGCGGCAGCAGTAACTATCTCCCGGCGATCGGCTGACAAGATGCTCGCGACGAGGGAGGCTCAGGTGGAACGGTGTGAGACGGACGAGAGGTAGCATAACCAGATGCTTCTAATATATACCGCATCCCCAGGGTCAAGCGGAGCAGCATGCGTCTACAAGCGATGGCACTGCGAGTAGACAAGGTAGTCAAGATAGCCGAAAGGCGTGAGAAGCCCTGGCCGATCGACGGCATGCTGTATGTACAGATATATGCAAAGCCTTGTTCATCGTCCGACCAGCTGGAGTTAACAGCCCTTGCAGGGAATGAGCGTCGCGACACGGTTCAGGGATTGCACAGGCAAGCCGAGCGTGGAGATGAAAGAATCCGGGGACGTCAGAGGGCTCCGCCCAACAGCGTGCCGACGCCTCGTCAGCCACAGCGGATTATCTTTTCGAACGGGACAGGCCGTTACTAGCTCCGCAGCTCCACCTTGGCCCGAGTGGAGCTCGCGCGATGGCACGGAAATCATGCTTGCATCCCGTATATCCTCCTCGGCCTTTGCGGCCGGTGGAACACGGGAAACCTTGTGCTAGCATAACTGCATCTGAGCGCTGCATCTTCGCAAAAGCCGTGTACTGCCCCAGACCTGCGTGTATTGGGTACCATCATTCGCCCACGGCCACGCAACATACTCCGCTCAACTGCATTCTTCCAACCGACTTGCTTCCTGATCGACTGGCTCGGGATACATACGCAGCGAATGGGCAGGCAGACATGCGTGTGGCCGGAGTTTGACTGGAGGGCCTTCAGCGTACGCCTCTCATGTTGCTTCATCCACTTCCATGATCACACGACCATCGGCGTGGGACCATGAGCTGCATCTCTACCAGCTCGAAAACAGCTCATGCTGACTCTACGGCTTGTTGTGTTCGCCAAAGGATCAGTTTTTGATCGAAGCCGCCACTGATCATCCACTCCTCGCCACCGTTTTCCCCAGAGCCAACGCGCCCCGCCCATATGCAGCGAATCTTGGATGCGGCGTCATGGCCCTTCAAGCTTGCAACTACTTTGCCGGTGCTAGCCTCAACACCTCTGACCACGCCGTCATCGCTGTTCACCCAAACGCCAGTACCGTCTGGCCGCCAGGCGAGAGACGGCGTTGAGTAAGGTGTCTGCGGTGCCAACGTGCTGCATTGAATGAGTATGGCTGCCAGCTCGCGCTCTTGTACTATGAGGGCCGCCCTAGCTTGAGACGCTTGGGTCATGGCGGAAAAGTTAATTCCGTCCCGAACCGAGTCTTGAGCAATTGGTGCTTCCTCCAGGCCAATTGAGCGTTCACTACCAGCATCAACGGCATCTGCAGGAGGCAAAAGTAAACGGACAATGAGAAGCTTCATATGTGGAACTGCCGAGGTAGCTACTGCCAGCAAAGAGCTGTCAGTAGGGCACAGAGCAATACTTGACGGGGTGAAGGCGACCCAAGCAGTGGAGGTTGGTGCCAGGTTCTGCTTCCCAAGAAGCTCGAGGGTGACCGGCGCGCCTTCACTGCAACCTGCGCCTGGTTCGGGGAGTGAATAGTAAAAGAGAAATGTTGAGTCTCTGCGAGTCAGCAGCAGCAGCGGCTTTTCTGTCACCGGGTGTCGGACGAACAGCAGGGCCTCAGGATTCGTTGGGAGCGTCAAGTTTGCAACTGGCGCTTTTAAATGGATAGGACTATCCTGTCGAACATTGAGACGATAAAGGTGTACCTTGGCATCCCAGCCAGCAGTTGCAATCCAGGCACCTTCGTCATCCTCTATGCTGGCGATTTTGACAAGGTATTTAGCATGGTCCTTCCGTTCGTTGAGCAGGGTATCAGAGCCGCAATCGTATAGTAAAAGCTTCCCAGACATGCTCGAAGCAAGTAGGTATCGCTGGCAGATGACATTATACGAAAGTATAGGGGAGTCCTGGATGTGGGAGATGGAACGATGAATTTCGAACGAAGATGCGCGGGATGAGATGAGGTGAAGGTGGCGGTCTGCGGTGGTGGCTAATATGAACGGTTCTGCTTCGACACCTCTTGCGATAATCTCGACGGATGCATTCAGGAGATTGGATGTGGTGGGTAGCGTGAGTTCAGTGGCAGAGGAGGGTGCTAACGGGAAACGTTAGAGCCCGTATGACCAGATTGGTGCTTCGATAGACACGTACCAGGATCATGCCATCCCTTGTCATCATCTTGGACACCCAATCTTTCGAAATTGGCACTCAAGTCAAATGCTTGCTTCTCGCGAAGCAGCTGTTCCACGGTGAGGTCGCCGTTGGTCACGGCACCGGCATCTGAAGGCAAGTTGGCCTCAGCAAGAAAGGCATCCAGAGTCTGTCGGCCAGTGAGTATCCCAACCGGCGACCAAGGGCTCCAATGTGTACCTGGCTGTAGTTGTTTGCGCGAAGAAAGCGCGCGACCAGGACAGCCGGAGACGCCATTGTTCGATGAAGCTGAAGAAACACCCGACCTGTTCACGATGCATGAGGTCACCCGCGCTTAGTCATCCGGACATCACCTCAACCCCATCAACCTACCTTGAGACCATGAGCACGCCACAAACGACGCTAGAATTTGCCATGCTAGCCTCTGCAATGAACGACCCGACGTCACACAGCTAAATTGAGCCAGAAGAAGAGCAGCTTCTCCTTGCCAACAGCCATCTTCCGATGATGGGAGTGCACCATCGGGCTCATCCTAACTGCATGGCAGTCAGTTGATGGTAACATATGAAAGCACTACGGCACAGCCACATGATCCCCGGCTCTTTGGAATCTGCATTCGTACTGCCGTCGCGAATTATGCGTCTGACCCTGGCTCAGGCATTGACAAGGAAACCTTAGATGCGTGATTTGTACACACTGCGTCACGCTTGCTTACATGTCTTTTCTGTTGTTCAGGGATGTTTCGCATCCCGACGGAGTCGAGAGATCTCCTCATTCTTCAGCATAGCCCGCTAAAAATCGAATGTTGAATTGACCGTTTCCAACGAACCAATAGTGTGGCACAGAGCCGCGAATTTTCAGCTTCCTATTCTGTTTCCTTGGCCGCTCTGGCAACCTAGTCACCACTGCCAACTCCTTGCATTTCATATCTTTGTTTTCCGCATGTGAGGTGCCTCTGCAGTCTGCCGCTACCTTGAAGAATCCAGTGCTGATCTGGGTCCGATAGTGTACCTTACGCCGGGACCCTGAATGTCTTTGTGCATTAACGAAGAATACACGACAGCTGCCCCCCCCCTCCAATCGTCAGGGTCCCACTCCGAAAACACACGTTTTATGATCCATACTTTAAACTCTCACTAAAGCCCAAAGATAGAAGATGCTATAGATGGATTCAGATATCTTGCTCGATATCATCATCTATATATTCTTGTTCACTGACTTGGTTTACTTGCCAGAGACTTCTCAGCCAGAACGGCGGAAGTAAGCAGCCGGAGCAAGAATGAAACACATCACATTCAGACCTCACATACAAAGCCTCGGTTCTTCTTAACTAATCTGGGGAGCCGAGAAAAATAAAAAATAAAGATAAAAACTGACAACGGAGCGATGTTTACATTGATTGGGTAGCTCCATCTGCAAGGCCTCAAACACCACCCGTGCCGCATGTGCGTACGATACCATGAGCGGACTGTCACTCAATTGTGGAAAGGGAACGAGGCCGTCGAGTACCACAAAGCAGCTGGTACTGCAGATGGAAGAGGTCCGCTCTCACAAACACAGCCTGGTTGCCGTGCCTTTCTGCGCGCCAAGGGGGTGTTGTCCTGGTCAATTTTCATATTGAAGGACGCCTCGACTTTGGCTCAGATACGAGCTACCACCTGTGCGTGCAGATTGTTGCGTTTGGTGCCCTATTTGGGTTAAGTTTGATTCCAGGCTACAAATACATGTGAGTAGGCGCTACACTGGTATACCCTGTAGTAGGCGGTTGCAGCGGCTCACCGCACATTGAACTAGGATCTTAGGTGGTTTCAAGAAGCGCCTCGATATTATCCGCGCTTCCGGCTGCAGACAGTAGTAGTACATACGCCCTTCCTGCGTCTAGATGCGTCTAACGCCCTTGACGCATAAACGATAATGGCTGTTCAGGGAGAGAGCTAATTAGAGGCTCGCCTTAGGCTTCATCGATTAAACTTATAGTAGACGAGTTAAGTAGTGATAATAATATATAATATAGTAGTATCTCACCCGACCTTAGATATCTTAAATAAAAGCTACATAAATCTAGGAAATATTAGACTTAAGAGAGAAAATTCTACTAGTTAAAGATAATATCTTTAAATTTTACTTATAAAGAATACTATAATTTCTATATTTAAGAATCTCTTTAAAATTTAAATTTTTTTTAGAATAAATATTATACTCTCTTTAAAAGGATTATATTTTCTTTTTCTTATTTTATTTCTAAAACTAAGTAATTTAGAAAAAAAAAATTAAAGAATTAAAAGTATATTAAAAGTAAATATTAATAAAAACTTATTACTAGGTTTTTTCTAGTACACTAAGCTCTTAAGCTTTCTATTAAAGATATTTTTTATTTTTAAGCTTAATAGCGGCTATTTACTAAGATATATTTATATTTTAAAATTAATTTTAAGAATATAAATACGGCTATTTACTGAGATATACGTTTTTTATCGTATAATTTCTAAGATATATATAATATTTCTGAGATACACATATTGAAAAAGTCTCTGAGATATATACTTTTTTATATATTTCGCTTGTAAATAGATATATTATAGTATATTACAAAAACATGTGTATCTCAGAAAAAACCGAAAAATATGTGTATCTCAGAAATTTAGCGAAAAAAAAGCGTATATCTCAGAAATATATTTAAGAAAATATGTGTATCCCAGAAATATATTCGAGAAATATGTGTATCTTAGAAATTAGTTCGAAAAAAAATTGTGTATCTCAGTAATATTTCTTTTAAAAAAATATATTGCTACAAATAATAAATATACTCTTAAAAAATCGAATATATTCTTTTAAAAAAAATTCTTAAAAAAGCAAATATACTCTTAAAAAAGCGAAAATATATTCTTAAAAAAAATCAAAATATACTCTTAATAAGCTCTGTTTTTTTTTAAATATATTTTTAAAAATAACTAAATAGAACACAATATATATATATTTTTATTTAGCATATATTCGTTTTTTAAGAATTTTTTTAGAAATATTCTCGATTTCCTATAAATACTTATTAGTTTTTTTTAAAGTTATTTTTAGGAGTTTATTCGCTTTTTAAGAATATATTTTTATAAGAATATATTTAACTTTTTTTTAAGAGTCTATTCGATTTTTTTAAGAATATTTTTTCTAAAAAATATTTCTAAGATACACAATTTTCGAAAATATATTTCTAAGATATATATTAGAGAATAAATTAAAATATTTATACATCTTAGAAATAAATATCGAAGAATTATATATCTTAGAAATATTTTTTTAGAAAACTATATATCTTAAAATTTATTTTAGACAATATATTCTTAATACGGCTATTTACCGAGATATATATATTTTTCGCAAAATTTCTAAGATATATATAGTATTTCTAAGATATATATATTAAAAAAGTCTCTCTAAGATATATACTTTCTTATATATTTTACTTATAAATAAGTATATTATAGTATATTATAAAAATTATATATTCTTTAAAAAGAATTTTCTTAAAAAATCGAAATAGATTCTTAAAAAATAGATTCTTAAAAAAGGCGAAATTTATTTTTAAGAGAAAAAAAGTAAAATAAATTCTTAAAAAAGCGAAATATATTTTTTGAAAAACAATCGAAATATACTCTCTAAAAAAAAGCGGAATATATTTATAAAAAAGAGATATTTATAAGAAAAATAATTTCTAAGATACACGTATTTTTAAAATTTATTTCTAAAATATATATAATATTTTTAAGATATATATAATATTTCTAAAATATATATATTTTTTAATTATATTTCTAAGATATATATTTTTATAATATATTATAATATATCGAAATATATCGAAATATTTAAAAAAAAAATATCTTAGTAAATAGCCGTATATAGATATAGGGAAAGTTACCTAGTAAGGTAGCGAATAGGTAGAGGCGTAAGAGATAGGCAAACTAATTTAGCTAGAGAAATTTATAAAATCCTAATAAAATAGTATAATATAATAATAATAACTGATTAGGTAGTAGAAGTAATACTATAAATATTAGATATCTTCTTAGTTCTCTACCTATATAGCGGAGGTAGACTAGAAAGGTTAGTAGTTAAACTAGTAATAACTTATAGAACTAATTAGCTATAGAAAGTATTAAGGCGGTTCTTATAGCCTAGGTAGTATTAGTAACTAGTAAGAGGTTTAAGAAAATAAGATTCTATTTAAATTATAAAGTAACTACTATTACTTATATTCTAAATAAGAGAGTATTATTCTATAGGCTAACTACCTACTAAACCTAAGTATATTAAAGCCCCCTAGTTATTCTTTATCCTCCTATCTACTAATTAGACTTAAATAGCTACTAAATTAGCTAATTCTTCTATCTAATCCGTTCTACTAACGCTATCCTATTATAATATTTTATAAAAGAAATTCTAAGGTATATATTTCTTCTATAAATAAATTACTAAATATATAGTAGTATACTTAATAAGATATATATTTTAGAAGATACTTAAAAAATAGAGCTCTTAGTAAATTACTATAAAAAGTATATATACTTTAGAAAATAGTTTTTATATTTAGTTTTTTATCTAAAGTATATTTAGCTTTCTTTTAAGAAAAAATATATTCTTAATAAATCGAATATACCCTTAAGAAAATAAATATATTTTTTTAATATATATATATATATATATATTCTTAAAATAAAATAAATATACCTCTAAGAAGACTAAAAAAAAAATATTAAAGAATATTTCTTAAAAAAAATCGAATATATTATTAAGAAATTTATTCTTGAAAAATTAAATACAATTTTAAAAAATCGAATATAACTCTAAAGAAAATATAAATATATCGGCTATTTACTGAGATACACATTTTTTTTCGCAAAATTTCTGAGATACACATATCAAAAAAGTCTCTCTAAGATACACACTTTTTTATAATTTTCGCTTATAGATAAATATATTACAGTATATTATAAAAAACATGTGTATCTCAGAGAAAAAATTAAAAAATATGTGTATCTCAGAAATTAGTTCGAAAAAATTGTGTATCTCAGTAATATTTTTTTTAAAAAAAATATACTACTATAAATAATAAATATACTCTTAAAAAAATCGAATATATTCTTTAACAAAATATTCTTAAAAAAATTAAATATACTCTTAAAAAAAATTGAATGTATTCTTAAAAAAAAATTAATGTATTCTTAAAAAAATCGAATATACTCTTAAAAAAAACAAATATATTCCTAAAAAAATCGAATTAT